TGAACTCATCCCATATTGATTGTAATCGACCATAAAGTTGTTGATCAATTGATTTGTTTGTTAATGATGAATAAAATTTTCAATTGGAGGTAAAGATTTATCTTCAAATTTAGACCAATCATCTATATATTCATAAGGCAAAGCTCCTTTTCTCAGTAAATTGTCGATTTTATAAATAGGAAAAATCTTCTTGAGATATGTTCTCTTGATACCATCGTCCAGATTTGACGCTAATGTATCAAGACTAGAAGCAAGAAAGGCATATGAGTCGATGAAAATGAATGGTCTCATAAATATAGCTGAATATTTTCCATAGTATGAGGAATGACATCGATATTGTTAGTATGTGTTATTTATTGCTTGGATAATCAAATGACTATCGAAATTTTTCAAATTGTGAAAAACAACAGGGATTTTGAAATTCCAAAAAAGTTCAAGATTACAGCCTTGGTGAGCAGCACCTCTTATCTCACCTGTCAGATGATGGTGATCACAAACACGTTTATCATTGTCTTTGAAAGGAAATTCACATATCCAACAATATTTTGCTGTACTCAGAACTTTCATGTGTTGTTCTCTGGTTATTGAAAGAGGTTTTTTGTTCTCTTTGAAACATTGGTAAATTAATGGTTTTAATGAAATAAGCTCGTCTATGAACTTACTACTTGCGTTATGTCCACGATAAAATGAAGAATGAATAATATCTTGTTTCCAATCAACAACGATAAGTCCATAACTAGAAGCAATATGACTTTGGTATTCGAATGTGTTTTTAGTAGATTCGATATTAATTGGTTGGATCAGTGTCTCAAAATCAGCATACACAATGAACGGATATGGTTGTAATGCTTTCATTTTATGAAACCAATTTTACTTGATTCATGTGGGATAATAACATGTTGATCTGAATTACATGTTTCCAAATGTTTCTCAAGCCGAAAAATTGTAAATCCAACCAAACATCTAAAACAATGATATAATCCTGATCCTTGTTGGTTCAAGAGACGGTTGAAGTTTTTGATGAGATAGTAATGACCATTGTAGTGAAACAATTTGATTTCAATATCAAATTTGTATTTACTTAACTGTAAAGGTATTATATTTGTATCATCAATATCTAATGAATATATATTGATCGAGATTTCATTTAACCGCTCAAACTTTGGAATATCAATTATGTCAACAAATCCTTTGAATCCATTGAAATTATGTTTGTAAATGTGTTCTTTATAATGTGATGTTCTTCGTGGGTTATCTTTGTGTTGATATAATGCTGCTAGGACTGACCACATGAAACAATTTTCTTCGCAGTCAATTGAGATGATCGCCTTTTTATTCTGTATCCAATCTGGCAATTCTGATTCACAACAGCCACCACTTTGAGGAATAAACTTCGCAATACGTATTTCTATTGATGATATCTTATTGATTGACCAACCACTACCAAGATGAGTAAATGTATCGACTCGATTATTCACCTCATCCTTACATTCATCCAGTGTTATGGCTATATTATCTCTTAATGTCACTGTTTTCATCGATGATGTAAAATAAGGCTGTATAGTTTTTTCACCGTCTGGTTTGGTCAAAGTCCATTAACGCAAACTTGATATTTAAAAACACCGAGATATTCAAACACATAAAAAAGCAAATCTTCCATGTTGGTTCGTTGATCAATAAACATTTGATTTGTATCTTTGTAGATTAAATTGTTCACGAAATAAATTAAAAGAAACTGTCGAAAAGCACTTTTCATAATTTTATAGGGAGGAAAATCTACTAAACCATATGTTTCAGTAGATTGACACTGTTCAATATGTTTACGAAAGTTTTTCTCAATCTTATAAGTACGTTTACACTCTAAACACTTGAATGAAACCATTTTTGACGAATGAATGATGATGTTCAAAGATTGTCTTTTATATAATACAACATGATATGGATATTAACACAAAGTTAATAAAAATGAATTGATCTTCTCAATAACGAAACGAATCTAAGATGATTACTTTTCTCAATAACGAAACGAATCTAAGATGATTACTTTTCTCAATAACGAAACGAATCTAAGATGATTACTTTTCTCAATAACGAAACGAATCTAAGATGATTACTTTTCTCAATAACGAAACGAATCTAAGATGATTACTTTTCTCAATAACGAAACGAATCTAAGATGATTACTTTTCTCAATAACGAAACGAATCTAAGATGATTACTTTTCTCAATAACGAAACGAATCTAAGATGATTACTTTTCTCAATAACGAAACGAATCTAAGATGATTACTTTTCTCAATAACGAAACGAATCTAAGATGATTAGTTATGATGTTTCATTAGTTCTAGAGGTGTGGTAACTCTTGATGAGAAGTATAAAAGCGAGGAAGAATCAAAGTTTTATTCATTCAGTATCGACATCATCAACAAACAACTTGAAATGTTTTGATTCAATTTGTGCTTACTTTCATCTTTCAAAGTTGGAAATGATTCAATCGAGATTGCTATGGGAGCTGGTGACCAGATTTTCCATGCTCAGGCTAAAGTGAACTCGCTTATTTATCGTTTCATCTTTGGTGAGGATCGATTTAACTGGAGTGAACTTTGTTATCTCCATCAGATACATCTCTCTACCGATGAGGAACATACAATTTTCAATTTTGTTTACCGTTTTTGGACTTGTTTAAAGAAAGAAGGACAATCCGTTATCGCTTGTTTAGATGGAAGATCGGCTAAGATGCTACAGCTCTGGATATTCCAACATATGATCTCTCTGGAAAAGGTGTTGGTTATAATGATATTTCTATTGATGGAGAAAGTTGTGGTTACCATGATAGACATGATGAAGAATGTTCACTACTTGTAATCGAAAGACTTCATTTTGTATATGAGTTATATGATGAAACAATAACAATTGAATAAAGTTTAATTTAATCATTTAATATTTGTTTTTCCCGCCATTTATAACTCGGTAAATGATGATGAGAGAGTAAGAGAAAAAGAAAGAGTAAATTTGTGTGCCAGAGGTGGCATAATATCACTACTAAGGTTAAAGGTTCTGCAGAAAGAGAAAAAAAAAGTTCGAAACAAAACTTCAATATTATTATTATTTTTTATTCGAGGGAAAAGGTAATTTATCATATTCACCTTTGTAGTTGGTCTCGTTTTTTAGAACGATAATTTCATGAGAACGAAGAGAAAAAAAGTTTAAGAAGAAGAGAAAAACTTTTCTCATTTTTTTTTCTCAATTTCGATTTTAGATTTTTACTTTTGTCATTTCCTTTTCCCCTTCTCATCTTGAACAATCAATGTTGCAATTGAAAGAATAACAATAAAAGGAAAGAAACAACTTGATGTAAATTTCCAGTTTCCCCATGAAATCATAATAATAATGATAAGATCGAGATACTCATTGCATGAGAAACATTTTCAACCGCCCGAGGCGCTTTTTCCAGTTACGATTCCATATTGTAATTGACTGGATGCTATTCAATACATAAAATGAAAATGAAATTGTTGCTTTTTCACTATTATCATTGTTCATCATCATTTTCATGATCAATGAATCAACAGTAAATAATAACAAGAATCGTATTCACAATTGAATGAAATTGTATATATTATTATTCAGTTTGAATTGAGATTTAACTCTCTCACTTTTCCCTCCCTCTTTCCATGTTTAGTTATCATCTTCATCATGATGAATATCATATGATAATGAAGTTCTGAAGAAGAAGAAGAAAAAAAAATTGATGTAAATAATTATCATGATAAAGATGATAACTGACAATTCGTGTTCAATTGTAATTCAAGTTTCATGGAAGTTCAATTTTCATGATGAGAGTAAAATTTTTGGCTTCAATTATTTCCATTGGTGGTTGATAATGAGGGTGGAAAATATTTCCCACTCCCTTTCCATGTATTCTTAGAGGTGAAAATTTCAAGGTAATAATATGAACATGAAAATTCAGGGAATCGGAAAATTGCATGATGGAAATAAAATTAATTTCCATGTACAATAATTTCAATAATCTAATCCAATGTTGAGAAGCAATTAAATTAATAATAAGCCACTAATCATAAGATAGATTGTGATAATAATAATAATCACACCTTAATTATACTTATACTCATAATCTAAATGGTTAATTGTTTTCTAATTGTTTCGACATTTAATTACACAAAAGATTAAACTAATCTTTCTCCTTTGACAAAATCTCAATGATGATCAATGTTAATCAGTTAACAATTAACCCGATTATGTTTTCTTGTAATACTTTGATTTTGTTTACCTTGGGGGATAATTAACAAAAAAAAGTATTGATTGTTTACTTTCATATTACTTTCATTGTTTATTTATCTTCATGGTCATTCATGAGGTAGGGGTCAGTTTCCTGATGCTCACAATTGTTTATATGTTGATAATGATGAACCTTAATTATCCTCAAGAGGTCAATGAGATCAATGGTCAGTTTCGGTCAGTTAATAAGTTGATGTTGTTGTTGTTGTTGTTTAATATCTTGACTAAGATCAAGATTGTTTATCATTAACACTGACCAATGGCCAATGTCCAGGTAACACAAACAGAACACTAGAAATAAATTAAAATAAGATAATGGATTCTAATTGGATTAAAAAAAATTAGATTAGATTCTCATGAGAAACTGTAACAACATTTTGATAATCAATGCACAATAATTTAGATAAATTAACGATATAATTTATTGTTTACAACAATCAAAATGTTATCATTGTAACGGTTAATGTTTCATTGATTATTATATTGTTAATATAATGATGATGGTGGTGGGTAATGGTGATATAACAATGAAGGTTAATGGTTAACAATTAATCAACCAGCAAACACTGTTGATTAGGTTGCATGGTGTAATTTTTTTTCATATTAGTTTGATATTAATGGATTAATCTAATTTTTTTTTATATCACAATCTCTTTCCCGTTTATCCTGATTGTTTTTTTTGCTACTTCCGGATTCATTCAGAATTGAACAGAATTACCGGCTTATAACCGGAAGTGATATTGAATTTTCTATCGATTTAGGAGTGAAGAGGAATGGAGAGATATGGATTTGAAGGACGAAACATCCGAGTGTCGGGTCAACAGTATAGTAGCGCCTTTACCAGCGACAATACCATCACCAGAAACGATGTCACCTTTACCTCCACCACCATTGTCGATGGTATCAACAGCAGCACCAGGATCGGAACCACCACGAACGACAATGATTGTGGACATGTCCGGTTACTGTTCGCCGCCAGTTTCGACTGTTGGTTCAACTTTACCTGGTTCGACATCTCTTTCACTTTGGCCTTGGCTTCGATATGCTGATGAAGAGGCTGATGGTTCGAGTACTAATGGTGATCAAGTAGAATCATTAGTTAATTTTTTAGACTCCAATGGAGTTGAAAGTTTCCCTAATCAACTTAATAATAATTATGATAATGAATCAAATCACCAATCAAATCAACAATTACATCCTAAATTATCCGTGCGGCGGAAAAGTTCATCAAGTGAGAGACAAAGTCGTCGACAATCAACAACATCGTCAACCGAAAATAACACAAGGAAACAACAGTTACCCTCATCTTCCTTGAAAAGGGCCGTTACAAGGGTTCGAAGTGGTTCCAGTGGTGCTGGTGGTCCAACTGCAACTATCGGTGGTGTAAGTATTCAGAGGTTTAGTCGATCTACTGAAAGAGGCATCATCGATAGACGGGCAAGTGTCGCTGCTCGAGTTGTTGACTTTCCATCGCATCCATCTTCATTTCGTCGATCTCAAGCTTCACATCGTTCCTCAAGTCGCCGTCGTTTCTCCGATCGAGATGGTTCTTCCTCCTCAGTTAACGGAACCACACCAGTTAACCTTGACCTGCCTTATCCAGATTACACCGAACTTTCATTTCGATGTCTAACTCAAACTTCACCAGTTCGCCGAATCTGTTTGACGATGATTTCCAATCCATATCCTTTTCATAGACACAAAATTAATCAACTAATCATTAATTTCTAATTTTCAGCTAATCACAAATGATAACATGATAATCTCATCTTCCGTTTCATCTGTTTCAAACTTTCACCTTTCACCGAATTGGGGTAAGATCCATTTAAGAATTGAGGCCATTAATCATTTGAAAATCGAATTGGTAAAAGAAAAAGAATTTTTGAAAAATCAAAAGTTCTAAGAAAAACTTTTTCTTCTTCGAAGAAAATTTTTTTAACTCTAAGGTGAGCTTACCATGAATTTATCGATTCCAAATGACATTTTAATGAATTGATGGTGATGAGGCTCACGAACCTTTATCATGATGATAATTGTTTAATTGTAAATTAATTCGATTGACCCGAAAGGTTTAGAAAGTTAAAGTTTCTCAGACTATTAATCTTCATCTGATCATTAGAGGACGAAGAGGAAAGTGTATTAGTGTGGAGTGAACTGAGTGGGGTGGGTGAAAAAAAGTTCCTGAACCAGAGGTAATTACGATCACCTCAATTTCCTACCAATCCTACTATTTAATTGTCAGAATCAATGTTTCCCATCTCAACCTGATATTTACTCATTGGTAACAATCAATGGACTTTGTTGAATCTTTTGTTTCCATTTCCAACTGATTAAGTTAATTGAGTTAAATTCTCCGAGTTTTTATCATACAATTAAAAAAGTAACAATAACCTAACAATCAGTAATTAATCAATTGAGTATCTTAAACTTAATCACCATCAAGGTATCAATTTGATGACAATCAGCTTATCAAATATCATTGATGAATTTAATCAATCATCGCACTGATTGTTAATCAAAGTTGATCAAGATTAATGAATTAAATCAAATCTAAATATTTAACAAAAAATCAGCCTTTAATCAGTTGATGGTTGATTGTTAGCAGTTGATTGTTGTAGCATTTTAATCAATATCATTTTCAAAAACAATCAAATCTGGTAAATGCTAATCAACAATTAAGCTCTGACATATCACTGACACAATCAAGAAAAGTTAAATAGTGAAACCATCAAACAAGAAAAATAGTTTCAATTGAACTTTAATTTAATCATTTATTTAATTCAAACAATTGTAAATTGTTTACACTTAATCATAACCGTTAACAATTAGATGAATACAATTGTCAAAGTGAAAAAAAAGTTAACCATTAATTTTGGTTGTTTTTGTCAAATTGTCAAACCAATTGTTTGCACGATCAGTGTAATTGTTAAAGGTTAGTGATTTGATTAATTGTTTATGATTAAATTTCAACAATTGATTAATTATTTTTTCCCCCTCAATTTATTTATCACTATGATGCAAATGAAATCGATTCATGAGATTTAGTTGTTATGCTTTTTACCATGAAATCGCCTTGAGGTTGAAAAAAAAGTTTGAAAAAAGTAAAAAATATCAACTCATCAAGTTAACAAATTCAATGTAACCATTTATATGAGTATTCATGTCTGAGTCTGAATTTTTCATGGGGAAAGTTCAAGTAACCTTGAGGGTGAACAGTTTAAATGTTGATTATGAAAGTTACGACTCTTTCATTATCCATTGTTCAAAGATTTCAGGGGAAAGTTTAAAACTCACAAATTCCATGAATTGATTGTATGGATCATTGGAAAATTCATTCCATACTTTCACCTTTTATCGGTTCAGAATTTTTCTCATTCCAATGGATAAAATGTCAAAATCTTAAAATAAACACAACAAAGTGATTAGATAATAATATAATAATAGTAACAATTAGTTTTCCTTTCATTAATTTGAAATAGAAACAAAATTTTCATTCAGAACTCCAGAAGAAATAAAGTTCTGACATTTTATTTGTTCACTGGAAAACTTTTAAGACTTGAAATGAACTTTAACCTTAACATGGAAACTCCCAGTTCTATCATTCTGAATAGATGATAAGCTTTATCACTGATGAAGAGAAAAATTATCTTCCCATAAATCACCAGAGAGAAAAAAAAAGTATATAAGTGAGAGAGATGATTATCATCTTGATATTAAACAGAATTATGATATTCTAAATAGGATTACAAACGGTTTCTAGGTTTCCAAGTTTCTTTTAACATTCTCCTCGAACTATGCTTAGAACTTTTTTATTTTCTTATTCTCTTTCATCTTCCTATTCTTAACTATCAACATATTTTACCGTTACCTTGATGACATTATTGTTCTGATGCCAGTTAATGATAATTGTGAGCAATTATCAACTACTAGAGGATCGAGTTGATTGGATAAAATCAAGTTTCAAGTAAATTAGAGAGACAAAATTGTCGATAAATCAACTTGATGTTAATCAATTTAATCAGTTGGAAATTAACAGTAAATAGTCAACACTTGTTGAATTAAATTAATAGTTAACAATTTGTTATCATATTAAGATCAATCAGTAACATTATTGATTGATTATTTATCTGTATCTCTTTTGATTATAATACACTTTTTAAAATGATAAGATTCTGTTAAATTTTCAATGATATGTATAACTAATTTGCCTCAGGGTAATATTTTACCCATTCATCAACAGCTGATGCTGGTTATTGACTCTTAACCGATTATCTATTAATAGTTAATCTGATTCATGATTTACACTGAATTGTGATGAGCCAATTTGAATTTTCCCAATGAACTTTGTTATTATCAGTTAGCTCATGATTCTTCATGATATATTCATATTCATGGTTAATGAATGGAAACATCTTGTTTAGTTATTCTTCATTTTCCAATATTGGATCGATAACTTATTCACGATTTCAATTCAATTCAATGAAATCCTCGTGAAAACCAATAGCAACATTGAAAATGTTAATAAAGAAATTATTTCATGTAAATTGTTAATATATATTGAAACTCACTCTCAAATCATGATAATATTTTCAGAGTTTTCTCTCACCAACTCAGCGAAATATATTGACAAAATTTTCTTAATAATCTAGAACCAAACTTTTCATCTTAATATTATCACAACCAGTAAATCTAAATGAAGAATCATGAACATTTCATTCAGACTCCAGTTCAATTCAAATATAAAATTATCGATTCAACAATTATGATCAACAATAACGAGCACACGTTTAGTTTTTAACAACTTTCTAATTAAGATTCTAATTGATATGGTGATCGCAGATTCTAAGGTCAAATCCCCATTCGTCTCTATTGTCAGTTCTTATTAAGAGCAAATTAGTTAGAGATTTGCTGTGAATCTCTTAGGCTAAAGGCTATTGAGGTCGAAGCTCATCTGAATTCATGATGGAAGACATTTGAAAACATCGCTGTTAATCATAACCAATCAATCAATTTTGGGAAAACATTGTAGTCAATAACGATTAAACTTGAAATACAATTAACTTTTTAATTAATAGGTTGGATAGGAACATGAAGTAAATCTGTAATTAACTACAAATTGTTGCAAATATGCAAAGCAAAGTGTTTCTTAATTGTATTGATTAATAATTTTAAGATGAGTTGTTTGTATCATGATGAGATTTATTCATTAAGTCAATCAATCAACCAGCAATTTATTCAACCTAAAAACCCGTGATTAGTTAATTGTAGCTTGATAATCGAATTGATTTAAACTCTTGTTAGTGTATTATATGTATTTACACATGAGCTCGTTTGTTATTCATTATATATTAATTTGGTTAGGAGTTAATTGTAAACGAGGAACCAGAAAAATTAAAAAAATTCACTAATCATAAACACAAAGAATAAGATAAAACCAAAAATTAATTAGATCATCTTAACAATTAATAATTAACTTGGTATGTTAATCATTATTCATCGTTTCATGATTAAGGTTTTTGTTGTTGTTAATTTGATTTATATCACAATTATGATCATCATTAATTCAAATTATCAAATCTATTCATGGTCATTCAATTAAACTAAGGTAAACTCACTGATTGTAGTTAGTTAATTATCTGATCTCAAATAATTCAACCTTACAATTAATTGTAATCATATTTGTTCAACTAATTTTATCCTGTTTCCTTTTTTGATTGTTGTTAACTTTGAGAAACTGAATTAAATTTAATCATTGATCAAGAAACTTAGAAACAACTTTCGTGTTTTCCTAATTCATCAGTTGATTTAATAATCAATTGTTGTATTGATTTAAATTGCTGATTGTTTGACTTTTTCCATGTCACCAGTAATTTAATTGAATATTGTTAAGGTTAAATTGATTAGAACTTTTAATTATTATTATTGTTACTTTTTTTCTCACTCGAATCGATTGTAACTTCAATACGATTATCATAATGGATGAAGAGATAATAAGGAAAAGTAATATTATTATTACTAAGGAATGATAATTGTTTTCTAATAAAATTCAGTTGAAAGAGATAATTTCATGGAGAATCACTGAACTTTTATGAGAAAACTTTCTTTGTTCATTTTAACCTCAATTCTTTGTGTTTGTATTATAAGAAGTGGGTGAAGACAATGATGATGACGAAGATGATGATGAGTTGAATGATGAAGGTAAGAAGCTTCTAATTCATGGTTGAAGAGACGATCTAATAGTAATTAGAAAGACACTGTAAGTTCAATGAAGATAAATGAGTCTTGTTCAATTTTCTCTCGACATTTAATGAGTTTGTATTAAAGATGAAGATTCATCTTCATGAGAGAGAATCAGGGAGAGAAAAATGATAAACAATATGTATGGAAAAAGATAAAAAAAGATGAAGAAGATGATGAGGATGATGAAGATAATAAAGGTAATAGTTATCTTTTGGTTGTAATATTATGTTCCTTTCTTATATTAGATAATAAAAGTATCAACAATGAAGAAGTGGGAGGAAGATGACGATGAGAAACTTCATTATCATCATTAAAGATTTACAATTTCAAGTATTAACAACGCAAGACAATCAATTGATTAACAAATTGTCAAGATGAAATTTTGAAATTACATTAGTTGGTTAGTTAGACAATATAAGGAAAAAGTTTACGAGGAGAAAACCAGATTAAAGTGAAAGTTCAATGATGATAATGATGATTAACAATCAATCATCAAGATGAGCCAAAGGAAATGGGAGTTCACTTGGAGGGAGATTAACATATCTCAATCTCATCTACACTCAGAATCTAAATCATCATGTCAACCTATTTACTCATCTTCTAAATGTGACATTTCCCTGAGTTTTCCGAGAAAACTATGATGATTCAGATATCCTCTCTCTCTCTCTCTCTCTCTCTCTCTCTCTCTCTCTCTCTCTCATGCATTCATATTCCGTGCTTAAACTGACCATTGAATGGTCATCAATGTTACCTGATTCGTTCATACATGTTTATATATGAGATTAAGCAAAAAGTGAGAAAAAGTTTAGAAAAGTTGAAAGTTATTTTTTGCCATACGAATCGAAATCGAAATTCAGTTGAACAGGGTTACATTAATATCACCCTGAGAAATGAAATGATAAGGGGAATAGTTTACGTGATCTTGATACCAAAAAGTTATCATGTCAAGTTTTCTCCATATAAAAAGATGAGAAGAAAAAGTCGAAGGAGAATGAAAAAGTTCAGGTCAATACTCAAGAGAGTTTAAGTAAAAATCAACTAGAATCAATCTTAAATTCATAAGAAGAAGAGAATCTGATCATCATGCTTATATTCACTTCCCTCGTATTTATCTGAATCGTTTTTGAAAAGAAGAGAAAAAGAGAAAAAAGTTCTAACATTTATGTTGAGACATATTCAATTCAATGGATATTTACTTTCTCCCTGATTTTACCTGATAGTTGATGATGTTTATTCTTGGAATGATTCAGATCACCAAGATTATTCAAAATTCACGGAGAATAAAAAAAGTTTGATTTTCTTACACAAAATAATCGATCAGAACTTTTCATGAGACCGATACGATTAAACCAAATGATTAATAAATGATGATATTGCCTCTGAATCAATCATTATACTTTTTCATCAAACAATTAGCTGATTGTTTATCATCATTTTAATATCAACAAGTTCAATTGAATCAAAAATCTACTGATTATTGCTCCATTTTATTGATTATCTGGATAAATGAACTTGATATCAGTTTGATAAAAGATTTCAAAATTCATGATATTATTGATTTTCGGTTGAAATTTTCACCACCATGAAAATAACGGTGAGCCCATAAAAGTTTACCAATTCAATTTTTTCTTCATCCTCATGATGTTCAAATATTCATCTGAAAGACAATAACATTTCAATTACAATAATTTCCATGAAGATGATAATGATGGAAACGCTTATCATCATGATTTCCTTGAGGTGTTACATGAATTTCAATTTTTCGCTTCTTTTATTTTTCCAATTTCAACAATTTCCATTTCATTCCTCATTCATTACAATATTTTCACGATTCATTCATCATCATCAACATTTTCCTCATCATTTTGCATTCAAATGCTCAGTAATTTGTTCACCTCGAATTCTGAATAGATTGAAACAGAGTAAGAATATTTTTTTTCTCTGTTCATATTCATCTTTTTTTCTGGTTACATGAAACCAGGGGGAGAAAAAGTCTAACCTGTCAGTTACTCAATATATTAGTAAGGTAAACATTTTCATCTTCCTACCTGGTTTCCGTTATTTTCCCTCATCTTTTAGCATCTTAGCTCTTCACCATTATCTCTCGCTACCTGTCAGCATCCATAATGTTACATGATTCTATGAATTATTTTCTTTTTCTCCTCTTTCAGAACTTTCATCCGAGCGCTTTTCACCCTTTAACAACTCCCACATTGACAGGAAGAGGATATAAAGCAAATTCAACCCTTTTCCCTCCCTGAAAGGTGAACACAGGTTATACAATATGATTGTAATTCTTTTCTTCTCATCTTCATTTTCATCCTCATCTTTTCTTATCTTCATTAATTGTCAAGAGGATAAGAAAAGATGATCAAGATTCTCTGTCATTTTCAAGTTCTCTCTCTTTTTTAATCATCAACAACAAGCTACTAATGAAAAAGAAGATGAAAACTTCATCATCTCAAAGTCAACAACGATTCTCATCACTTGATTCTGATGGTAAATGATGATAACTATGGAAATTATCATCATCATGAAAGGTGAAGAGAAAAACTCATGAACGATAACATGATTACAATTCATTTTTGTTGATAATAATTTTCCAAAAGCATAAATTTCAATCTATCATTTTTTTTTTGTTATTCTTATAATTTTTCATCGCAATTTAAAAACTTGATTAATCAAATTTACATGATAATCTCTTAAATTGTTACTCTCTATCATTATCTCCTAACACTGATTTCCCATTCATTGTTATAACTAATCATAACGTCAGAATCAAAATTAACTGGTCCATAAAATTGGTAGACTTTATTAATTTACTTTTCTTTCATCATTATTTTCATTCAACTAATGGTTACATTCAGTGTATTCACTTATTGTGATGCTACTTGTTGTGTTAAGTTGTTATCATCATCATCATCATCACCATTGTCATTACCTTGATAATGTACTAAATACAATGAAGATAATGATGAACAACCCCTGGAGTGGGAGCAACATTATCTTTATGGTCAATCCAATGGAGAAACATAAACAAAAGATACTCATCATGATGATGATGATCATCATCATCAGTTGTTGATCATGATGATGACCAAGAAAAAATAACATTCAACTGAAAGGTGAAAGTATAATATTTATTGAAACACAGGGGAAGATGCGGAAATGTTATCAGATTATCATGGTCCATTATCATTATTGTATCTTTCGTTATATTAATCAAAAATCATGTTCTAATGAAAATTACCAATAACCAATTCTCATAAAATTTCTTAACTCAAAATTTTCGAACAAACAAAAAATTCTTTTCTTTATTTCATGATAAACACATGGTTCGAGCGTATCAGCATGATGGCCATTCTTTTAAATTGTATCACTCTTGGGATGTATGAACCCTGTGTGGATGAAGTTTGCCACCGGTCACAATGTAGAGCACTTCAAGTTTTTGATGATATGATTTTCCTTTTCTTTGCTGCTGAGATGGTCATCAAAATGACCGCCATGGGAATCAGAGGATCAAAGGGAGCTTATCTTTCCGAAACTTGGAATAGACTTGATTTTTTTATTGTCATTGCAGGGTGAGTATTATCCAATATTATTCTCGACAAATTTTCCCTTCATCGACAATCAGCTGAATCCATTCTCGAAATTCAAACAGTTCCAAATGTCTGGAAAAGGAAAATTCTGACCTTTGTGTTGATGAAATCAATTTCTCAAGATTTCGAGCACTGAAATTTAGAAGAAAATTCTGGGTTCTTGATTATGAGTAAACACCATGTTTCAGATGGATAAAGTTGAGATTTGAAGAATCTATGGATTTTTAGAACTTTTCTTGATAATATTTTATTGTTTTCTTTTTTTAGAACTTATTTTCATGGTAACGATGTTAATAATGTATATTTAGTACTCAGATAAAGAGTAAAATTAATCAGATGAACTTTTCTAGTAAAATTATATGAATAAAATACTTGAAATCTCGAATCAATATCATGGAGAAGATGAAATAAAATTTTAATCTTCAATTTCATGATAATAAAATTGAACAGACAATTGAAATGATAATATGATGAATAGTTTTAAGACTAAAAAAAAGGGTCACTTTAATTTCATTTGATGGACTAAACTTGATTAACTTAATTCTTGACCAAATTATTTCATGGAAAGGCCTTTGTTCAACAATAATAATCTGTTGCATGATAAAATATCCACAATCTGAAAACATCCCGAGGCAATATGAAGCTATAGAAAAAACCATCAGAATATAAAGAGAAAGAGAGAACAAAAAAGTTCCAGAAATTCATCAGGGCTTCTATTCAGTTGACTTGAAATAATGTTTGTATTATTTACCATCACTGTGCCTATTAAAATTACCCTCAGGCTATCATGATGGATTATATTAGTAGCCATTGGAGTATTGAGAAAACAGGTAAAAGGTAAAAAAAAGCAGATAAAAGTGGTCAGTATGTTGGCCAACAATTTGAAAATGAGATAATTGATTAGCAATATTGATAAATATTGAATCCATGATACTTTTACTAGGTTATTCTGATTTTTATCAAGAATTTATCATTGATCTTATACATGGGGTACATGAAATATGAACAAGAAAAGTTCTGAAAATAATATTCTTTCAATAAAATGAAAATTCCAACTCCTACTCAACCATCACCTTCATCTTTAGTTTGATCGTTCAATATTTTCTCATGATGATGATGATGACCTATTCTGATCAATATCTCATGATGACAGAATTGAAATTGAAATTTAAGCTCAGAGTTGAATTCTTGGAATATTTTATCAACATCTCAAAAACGGAATTAGGAGGAGAATTAAAAAATTGAAAGAAGATACAGAAAACAAGAGAAAATTTTTATTCTTTTTTTGGAATAAAAAAATTCTAACTTGGAGAAAGAGAAAGAGAGAGAGAGAGAGAGGGAATTCTTTCAACTTCTCTATCAAATATCTTAGAAATAATGATAATATTAGATAAAGAATTGGAACTGACCCTTAGCAAAAAAGAAACAAAACTGACCTTTAACAAATCATGCAAACCGAATATGATTATATAACTTTTTTCTTTCAATTCGAACTTTTTTTTTCCATCCCAATCCTCTACGCCTATTCCATCATCTTGAATAACTGAATTGAAACGTTACCTGGGAGGATTTTTCATCTATTATTATTATCTATGGGATATTAACATTGTCATTTGTTTCTTTTCTTTTGCCATGGTAAATATTTTCTGACAGAACAGATTATTCAGTTACAGAATTTAAAAGTTATACCTAAAGAATTGAAAACAAAAATGAGACAATTGATGCAAAAAGATATTAATACAAACTGATAGATTTTACTTGATCTATTTTCATGATAATCATTTTCATCATGAAATCTTTCATCTTCCTCTCTTTCATCATCAAAATCATCAAAAATCTCAAGTATTGAACAATAATGACAGAACTTTTTCTTCTCCCCATGAAATTTAGATGATAATACATGAAAACATATTCAGTTCTAAGTCTCAGTTTTCTTTTAGCTTTGAAAAAAAAAACTTTCAACTGGAATTCCCTCCACCTCCTTTAATTGCGATTCTCATTGAAACCACAAGTTCGAAGTATCATTTTTTTTTTGTTCTAATGTCATTTTTTTTCCTTCTCATTCAACTGAGCCAAAAAAAACTGAATTTTCCAACCTGAAAATGACATGAAAATAAAGAGATAAAAAAAGATAAACCAACAAATACCTTATCAGGTAATAAAAGAGATTAGAATAAGCAAAGAAATAAGATGACGATGAACATTTTGATGATGAAGATAAGGACAACTGATATAACAGAATATCTTTAATGGTTTTCGTTTTCTATCTGTCACAATTGCCTCTCAATTTAATGCACTTTCATCACGTTAGAAGAGTTCACCTCGATTTCCTTTACATAAAGATGGAAGTTTTTTTTTCTCTTCTTTTCTACCTTGTTTGTCTTTCGTTGATTCATCATCATCCTCTTGCTTTTTTCACTTTCTTTTATTCTCTTTTACTTTTGCATCCTCATCCTTTCCAAGTTTTCTTAACCATCAATATTGTTTGAAAGGCCTTGATACCTTTTATCATGGAGAAGATGAAGAAAAAAAAATTCATTCTCCAGGGAAATGTAGCCTTTCATCAAGGTATCTTTACCTTTATGTGATATTTTTCTTTATCTTCCATCATCATCATCATCATTATCACCTTTTGGCTATTTAACAAACTAACTTTTATCTTCTTTTCATCAATTTTTTCCCCTCATTCTCTTATGGTTTCATCTTCTATCATCATCATCTCTTTTTTATCTTTTCATTCATTTTCCCTTTCAATTTGTCACGAAATATTCATTCTGACTGATTGATCGATTGGGATAATCATCCATGTAAATGGTGATGATGATGATGATGCTGATGATGGTTCACCAACTAACCATCATCACTGAACCATAAGAAACACCTCAATATTGGTTAGATTTGTGGGTTACAAAAAATTCATCTCCATCCGATTATCTAATTCTGGTTATCTGCTTACGATTCATGAGCCAGCATGAGATGAAATTTTCTCTTTTTATTATATTCTGATAATACATGTAAATCTGATTTACTTTCAACTGAATTATTCTAATAAGCCCTTAGGCTATTATCAGTTCTATTCTCATGGCTCCCAATTTTAACTGATAATGATCATCATTAGTTAACATGAATATACTTTTTTTTCAATCTCATTCGATAACAAGATGATAACTTCATTCACTTGATTATCAATTGATTTAACTTGATTAAATTGTATTTATTGATTATTTATCATCAATTCCGTAACACATTACTGTCCAGTGAAAATATCAGTGATTATCTGTGAAAAGTTTCAATGATTCAGTGAAAGTTGGAGAGAGAAAATTTTACCTGAGAAAATGTTTGAAATTGTAATTCTCTGAATAATCTGATTAAATCAGTTGGTGAAAATGGTCGTTTGATTAGTTGACGAATTGTAACTAAATTCAATTGAATTGTGATTACGATGAAAGAGGATTTAATCGTAACTTGAGAATTTTTGTTCTTAATGTCACATGATAAACTTATTATCAATTCGATTCACGAATCAATTTGTAAAATTGATTGTTAAGCTTCTTACCACTTCCATTTTTCCACCCACAAGATTTGAAAGAGAGAGAGAGAGAGAGAGAGAGAGAGAGAGAGAGAGAGAGAGTTATCAATATCATGATAGAAAATCAGAATCGAGATAAAATTTCATGATAGATAAAATCTCGCAACAGATAGTCCTAAATAGAGATTGGATCATTCTCAGCTTAGAGTTTCTCCCTCCTCCTGATTTCTCTCTCATTGATAAAAAGCTTTAGACATAAGAGATTCTTTGAATTGATGGTAAATCATTGATAGAATTTTTCATTTTCGATAATCACAAGAATCAGCAAACATGAGGAGAAAATGTGATTTCGAATTTTCTATTTTCCTCTACTTCTTAGAATTTATATTCTTCTCCAGAACTTGAAGTTTTCTTTTTCTTCTTCTTGTCTTGTAAACTAAACTTCGTATTCGTATTCAAATAAACAACTATTTTCTTCTTACCTGTTAATGGTCATTTTAAATTCTTTCAAAAGAGTCTAAAGGTAAAATTTTTTCGAATAGAGAAGAAAAAAAAGAACAAAATGTTTTTAGAACTTTTCTTTTTTCTTTTCTGCTTTGCTTTCGATTTCATCAGGTAATCGATTAAACCATGAAATGTATCATGGTTTCATCTCGATAACCATGATAATAGTTACGATATTGTTATCTAATTGAAAATCAACAACATTATGTTATAACTAAATTAACTTTCGTCCAATCAATTGATCATTACGATCAATAGGATAAATTTTGTTAACAATTTATATCAATGATTAGCTTCACATTCAATTAGCTCTCAATTGAGACAATACGATCAAAATGAATATAACAAAAAATAATATCATTGGTTGTAATCAAATTAAATTATCATCACATTACTCAGACAATTATGACGATGATACAACAATTAACTTAATTCAATTGTAATTCGAAAAGTTTCAGTTCTAATGTACCAATTAGATCAAAATCCAAGGTGAAAAATTTTCGATTAAAATTTTTCTTATTATTTAATTTCAAGAGAGAAAATATTTATTAATCCAATATAATCACAATTAATTCGTATCAAAATCAACAATTAACAATTGATTCGTTCACAGACTCGATCAATTAACTCAATGGCTTACAATTGATCAATTGATTGTGATCAATACAAGATAAACCAAAGCATAACTAGTTTGCCAATTACTCAATTGTCTCAATTATCTAACCAAATTTAAATTGTGATTAGATTGTAACAATTAACCGTTTAGATAAAGAATCTAACAACAATTGGATAATTTAAAAGTATCAACTTAACGATCAGTTTTTTCATCTTTACCTTAACTAAACTGCTTCCAACTTATCTGATTGTTACTTTACCTTTTCAGTGTTACAATTAGTTAATTTCTGGTTTTTAATTGTTTATTAACAGTGGATTTGAATACATTAATTTGGTTGGTAATATAAATCTATCCGCAATTAGGACTGTCCGAGTTTTACGTCCATTAAGAGCAATTAACCGGATACCAAGTAAGTTTCAATCTCGATAATCTGTTAACTTATATGAGACGAAAAACAATTTTCCCTCATCTTTTTTATTCACATCATTTCCGTTTCCGTTTCTCAACAGGTATGAGGATTTTGGTTATGCTTCTATTGGACACTCTTCCCATGTTAGGAAATGTTTTGCTTCTTTGTTTTTTTGTATTCTTCATCTTCGGCATCATCGGCGTTCAACTTTGGGCTGGACTATTAAGACAACGTTGTTTCCTAGATTTACCTGCTAACATTTCACTGCCTCCGTAAGTACCGACAAAAAGGTCACTTTAGAACAATTTTATTCTCGATTCAATCCAATCTAACGGTAAAAAAAAATTCTACCCTTAAATCAACCAAAGGGAAGAAAAAAAAACTTTTTTCCCTTTCATCATGTTGATCTCAAGCTCTCTCACCAATTCTAAGAAAAGTTCAATGAAAATTACGATAAATTAATTGAGAGAATCAGAAATTATCTCAATTACAATTCTCATCATAATATTAACTTAATTGTTGAGATCAACATCATTCTAATTAATTATAAACAGTTATAGATATGTAGCTTATTAAAAGCACATTGTCCTTGTTAATTTTCCCAATTTAGAGTCTAATTAATCACAATTAACTTTACTGCTCTTTAGTAAAAAATTGCCAATTTAAATTATAATCACAATTGTAGAATCACAATTAACTTTATCACAAAAACATTAACTTTCCTTTGCATGAGAGAAACTAAATTTGATGATAATAACAATACTAATGATAATAACCATTTACTAATTAATTACTCAATTAACAATCAACTAATTGTCCATTTAAATTGTTCCTCTCCTTTTCTTTTCCTTAATTGTTTCCATCTCATCCAACTCAACTAATCAAAAAGGGAGACAAACTTAAGCCAATATTTTGTTGAGAAAATTAAATCCGGCGAGTAAGAAAATCCAAATTGTTAATTGTTGATCTAAATTGTTGGTGTTGTGTGTTAACTTTTTTTTGTTAATTGCTCTGTTTTTAAACCTTAATTGTTGATCATTTTTTGTTAAATCATTCAAACATTTTCATCCATCTCTCTATGTGTGTGTTGAAAAACTTTATGCTTGCCCAATGAACTTTAATTAACATTGATAATCATTAATTAATCATTAGAAAAATGATAATAATCAGTTTGCTGGAAAAGGTAAAAGTGGACAATTATGATCATGTTAATTATCTAACTGATTAACTTGGGTAATTAATCATAATCAACATCCACTTATCGTTATTTAAAAGATAATTGTTATCAAAAAAGTTCTGATTTTATCGTTTTTTTTTCTGTTCGGGTTAAGAATTGAATTGATTATGATAACATGATAAACTCCGATGATAGGATTCTGATTAAACTTAGAAAATACTATTTCTACATTTACAGTTTCTGATAGAAAAATATAAAAAAAGAAATAAAAAAGTAAGAACTATATATTCAGAGAAGCTCATGGAATTCTGATAAGCTGTTCTTTTATTTTTCCATGGGAAAGTTCTGTAAACTCTGAGAACTTGATAACCGACTCATCTTCACCATTTCGAGTGATATTTCATGAGAAGAAGAAAAATTTTTCCTTCTCTTTCCTTTATTCTTTCTCGTAATCCTATTCTGATGAAATTTAAAAGTCCATCTTGAACTTATCATCGAGTCGAATTTAAAGAATCATCGATAACTATCAGAACTTGTGCTGAGAAAAATTCGAAAAACATATTCGATATGTTCATAATATAAACTGTTAACTGTAAATCCACAACCACCCATCGATTTAGAGTAATAAAAAATTCTGGCCAGAACTTAGAACTCAATTTAAAGTTCGATAAAAATTTTCTCGCCCAATTGAAGTTCATCTTGTCTCATTTTTCACCAAGACAAACCTTTGAATTACAGGATACTCATTGTTATCCAGAATAATCTCAATTCCAAATCAGGTGGATATAAATTTCATAGAATTTTCTTCCCTCCCCCCATCGAATCTGCTGAAAAAACTCACAATCGAAATCAAAAGTTCTGAGCACACAAACTACAAATTCTCTTACAATTAATATCATTAACAATTAATCTCTAATTATTATACATAACCAATCAAACTAATTATCTAATTATCTCATCATCTCTTAATGCACAACTTAAATTAGAACTTTTTTTCTCGAACTCTTTTCCCTCTTCTCCGCTCTTGTTATCATTGTAACGAAAATAATATCTACCTTGTAATTATATTTTCAATTATAATCATTACATGTTTATCATATTGCAGAAAGAAAAAATATAATTTGATAACGAATAAATATATGTACAAGAAAAAAGTTCTAATCGAAGATTGTTTTTTAGACATCGAATTGAAATTAACTCGACAGAAGAACCAGAAAAAAAACGATTACAAAGAATAAGGAAAAAAGTTCAAGAAAAGTTATCCTTTTGTTCATGAAATTTAATGGTTATCATTGAGGTAACTATTCAGTCTTATGATGATGATAATGATAACCATGATAATAACATCATGAGGTTGAGATAACATGATAATATAATTTAACGTTTATTTATTTATTTCCTTGTTGGCTTTTTTTTTGTTTCTCTAAGTTCTGGTTCGAGACTCAATCCGTTTCTCTGAATTTTTATCCTAATTCGAGAAGTTAGAACTTTTTTATTTTCTCTCTCTCTCTCTTTTCTGTTATTTTTGCTCTTTTCTAAAAACAGAAAATTCCATTAATCAAATGATATTTACTCTTCTCATTTACCTTTAACTTAAAATGATGAATTTTTCTGTTTCCAGTGTTACACTCATACAGAATCATCATGATGATGAGATGGGTTTTCCAATGGGAGGTAAAAATATACTGACACACCCTTGAGATAATACTCTGAATTTGAATAGTTGCTACTATTTAACTATTGAACCAAATCGATGTCAAGAAACTTTAATCAGTACTAGTTAACCATAATAAGAATATGATATAATATTTTCTAGAACTTTTTTATTTCTCGAAAATATTTTTCGTTCCCTTGAAAAAAATTCATTGCATATTAACTTATGTTCATAAATTGTTGGGATGAATTTAATTTTGCTCGTTTAATTAACTTGTACAGTTAATTTGAGTTTAACTTTTTAATCGTAATTGTTATTCAACTGATTAAGTTGAAAATTTTGAATTTTAAATCCAATTGAAATCTAATCTTAAACTAATAATACACTTGGCATGGTATTCATTTGATTGCATGATTGTATTTTCATGATGATAATAAAAATAAGTTTAATTGCCTGATGATTGATATTCAAATTGTATTAATTAACTAAATTAGTTTATCCATTTGATTGATTTAATTGCATTCGCCTGATTAGTTGTTAAAAAATCAATTTAGTTGCATCACTTTATTAATAAACTAATAACTTGTAAAAGGTGAACCAAACTGATCAGAACTTTTTTTCTTTCGATTATTTTTTTTTTTCTCTTTTTCTCTTTTTTTCCACCACGAACATGATAATTTCATGATAATAGTCCAATAGCATCTCACTATCAAGTAATGGCTGATACAGAAAAAGATTATATCTGTTCCCTTGAAAAAGATAATGGGATGCACCGATGTGATAATCTTCCACCCTTTAAGTATAATAAACGGGAATGTTTCGGTGAAGCGATTCCCTTTCATCATAATCTTCCAAATGAGACCTGGTGTGTTAATTGGAATCGTTATTATACTAAATGTAAACATGGAATCAAGAATCCCTTCCAAGGTGCCATGTCCTTTGATAATGTGGGTATGGCTTGGACAGCGATCTTTCTGGTCATCTCACTTGAGGGATGGACAGAGATCATGTATTATGTTCAAGATGCTCACTCATTCTGGGATTGGCTTTATTTTGTCCTCCTAATTGTGGTAAGTTAATCAGATAGAAACTTTTTCCTTACATCTAATCTCTTAATCTTAATCTTTATAAAAGACACTTTGCTTATCGGCAGAGTTTCAAGTTTCGCCTCTAATTCAGTTCTTTTTGTATATTCTTATTATTATCATGCAGATTGGATCATTTTTCATGATTAACTTATGTTTGGTTGTGATTGCCACCCAATTTTCCGAAACAAAGAAACGTGAAATGGAGCGAATGAGACAAGAGAGAGCAAGGTGAGAATTCCCTTCATATGAAGAGAAAAAAAATCCAAATTCAGTAGAATAGAAAATTGTGATTCTATTTGCTTTTCTTTGTCTCTTTTTTTTATATTCAATTGAAATTAAGACTTCAATCCAATAGTTCACTTGTAAGTGGATCAGGATCTGAGCCGACCAATTGTTATGATGCAATAATTAAGTATTTGGCTCATTTGGGTCGACGAGCTAAACGGAAAGTTTGGCGTTATTATCGAGACTATAGACGGAAACGACGTCGAACCCATTGTAAAGCATTTCGATCGCGAGGTCAACGATTAGAACCACTTTGTCCAAGTAAAGGTGGAAACACTTCATGTACATTAGCGGCCAACGAAACAACTGGTAACTCTAATCGACCCGCTTTCGTTGTCATCTCAAGGTCAGCTTCTGATTATGGTAAAGATTCAACCGATGAAAATCAATGTACCAGTCTAGTTAACAGTAGTGGAAAAAATTGTCGAAATTCATCCAAAGATAAATCAGCTGATTGTAACGTTTCTCATCGTTCTCATCACCATCATCATGGTAAACACTGTCACCATCATTACCACCACCACCATCATCATCATCATTATCATCACAAATCGAACTCAAAGTAAGCCAAAAGAATATTCAATTTTTAAGAGAAACGAAAGAAGAAAAAAAAATTTATCAACCTCATTTTCTTATCAGAACTTTTTTTGTTTCGAATAAAAAAAAGACGAAGAAACTTTCGAACCTTAAAAGTGAAAACTCTGTAAAATGGTTGAAACACTCATTTCTTATTCACTTAGATGATGAGAAAAAAAACTTCAGCATCCTCATCACCAACACAAACCCATCCCTTAGGTTCATATTAGGTGATGTGGGAGTAAAGTGAGAGGAAAGAAAAAGTTTGATAAATTTTTTATTCGCAACCATTAACATCATTTTCATCATCATTATCATCATTTTGCATCTTTCTGTTTTTTTCACTCTCTCTCTCTCTCCCTCCTACTATCTCTCTCCCTCTCTCTCTCTTTTGCCTCATCAAAAAACCATCATCTTCATGATGATGATAGACACCATCATCATCATCAATCTTGTAAACATCGACACAGTCAAAGCTCAGAGCATCCATCATGTTCCCATCTCGATGAAGGTACATTGGAAACTGATAAATTGATAAGTGATGAGGAGAGACTTTTGGAAGACAATTGTGTTGATAAACCTGTTGATAGAATGAATTTTATTTCAACTGAACAATCACCATGTGATAATATTAATAATACTTTAAGTGATAATCGACGAAATTGTTCAATTGTTTACAATATAACAGAAGATAAATATAAACAATCAACTCAAGGTGATTTAAATTGTCCATCAAGTTTATCTAACAATTTGGGTTCATCTTCATCACCTTCACCGGGATCAAAATTAAATACAAATAATTTATCATCTATTTTGGTTAATTCTGATCAACCAATTGATGATCTAACATGTTGTCCATCAAATGGTCAACTTTTAGGTACAACGACAATCTGTAAATTACGTAAAGAGAAATCAGATAATTTCAAATATTTAATTGACCAAAATTCATCAAAAAAGTCACACCATCAAAGGTCACATTTAGGTCCATCTCAATCAAAGTCACCTTCGTCCTCCAATAAGCAACAACAAACACCCTCCGGTTATCCGTCAACTCATCTTCCTCTGTCCCGAAAATTGATCACTTACCAACGAACCAATTTTCGACATTGTTCCGCTCCAACTTTGACCTTGTTTCGATCTCAGGGTGGAAGTGGATTGGTACCCGGTCTAAAATCTGGTACAGGAGTGGAAACACTTGAACGACGTCCAAGTAAAGCCAATGCTCGTGAACCTGGTGGTGGTAATGGTCAAGCTGGAATTGAAATTGAACCATTGGTCAATCGACCGGTTGGACAACAGCACCAGGCTGATATTTCTGCGAGTGATACAAGTCTTTCCGTTTGTATGAGTGGAGTTGAAATGGAAAATTGTAAAGAGAAACGTTCAGGTTCTCGATGTTCATGGACAGGTCATGGTGTTTGTACCGATAACGAAGATGATGAGGATAGTTCAGACAGTGAAGAATCAATAGATTCTCTTGATGATGAACATCTTTGCGATTGTTGTATCGATTGTCGTTGTCTCTCATGTTTAAGATCAATTAGAGTTTATCTTAGATTATTGGTTAACCATCGATACTTTCAGAGATTCATTTTCCTTGGTATTTTGTTCAACACTCTTTCCATGGGAATTGAATATCACAATCAACCCGACGAATTGACCCAAGCCCTCGAAATGTCCAACCTTATTTTCACCTTTCTATTTGGTATCGAAATGGCCCTTAAGATCCTAGCCGAAGGTTGTTTCCATTATATCTCCGATGGATTTAACGTCTTCGATGGTATCGTCGTTATCGTCAGGTAAATAATCATTTCAATGTGTTCATTTTACTCTGGCATTGGAAGAAAATTGGAAAAAAAAAATTTCTCGAAAATTTTTCTATTCTCTTCATTCAAAATCATCATGATAATATAATTTACATGGTAACAGTTTAAATAACTTGATATTGTTATTATCAAATATCCCTTTCTATCCGTAATAGTTGATTGAGACTCATTGTTATCATTATATTATCATGATGATGCTGTTAAACTAAATCAGATTGAAAATTACTCAGATAATTGGCTTATTCAGGAATAAGTTTCATGAGCTCAACAAATACTCATGATAATATTTCATCTCATATCTGTGATTATCATAAAGAGGGAGAGAAATCTAATCTTTAGAAGAGAAAAATTTTTCAAGTTCTTACGATAAACTGAATAAACTTTTTGGTGAATATTTTCTGAGTTGAATGTAAACAAAATTGATCTTCTTGTTCACCTTGATTCTTAGAGATATTGAGAATAAGGTTAATATCAGAATAGAAAGAATTTTTTTTCTTCTCTTTACAATATGAGTTTTTCAGGGGGAATTTTTTCCTTCATCAGAACTTTTTACATCTTACCACCTCATGTATTCTAATACATTAGCGTGACTCTGATCATCTCCCATCACTCATCATGTTACTAATGTTTTTCTCACTCTCATGATAGATAAAGTAACAAACCTGTTACCAAATAGCCAAAAGTTCAATGGGTGGGGTGGGTTTGAGAAAATAAAAGCTAATAATTTCATTCCCTGGGAATAATCAGGGGATGAGGTGATAATTTCTGTCTAATATATTATCAATTGAATAACAATTCACCACTAGTGTTATGATTAACATGTTGATTTATGTTTAATTGTCGAGGAAAATGTTTGAATTGAGATCAATAATTATTCTTACCATGGTAGTGGAAGGTGAGATAAATCAACTTCTACTGAACTTTTATCTGAGTTTTTTTCCTCCTTCTGCTAACATTTACATGTTAGAATCATGATAATGTTGGCGTGATAATGAAACATTAAAATTCTGAAACTGAATAAAAGAATAGAACATTTATTTTTTTTTATCGAATCAATTTACTCAATTCTTATTACTTATGACTCTCTCACTCGCCCTTCTAATTACAGTCATGATAATATTCATCTTAACTATCAATTATTTTCTGCAATCTTTATTTTTCTCATCATTTCCGTTTCCTTTTTCTTTCAGCATCATGGAGCTTGTTGAAGATTCCGGTAGTGGTCTTTCAGTTTTAAGAACTTTTCGTTTGCTTCGAATTTTAAAACTAGTTCGATTCATGCCTGCCCTTAAGCGACAATTGGTTATCATGCTTCGAACTCTTGATAATGTTGCAGTTTTTTTCGCTCTCTTAGTTTTGTTCATCTTCATTTTCAGGTAAGTTGAGTTTCGCTCCCATGAGATTCCGCTCACCCGATCCTTGTATCTCTCTCCCTTTATCATCCGATCCCAATTTCTTTTACTTTCTCATCTTCCTCTTCTCGATATCATTTTCACAACCCATTTAACCTATTAAACTGATTCTTACCCTCTTTCCACATCTCACTTCATTATCATCATAATCTTTTCTTATCCTCTCTCTCTCTCTCTCTCTCTCTCTCTCTCTCTTTCTTTCTTTCTTTCTTTCTTTCTTTCATCTGTTACCATTCAATCTCTGAGCATGATGATAATCACCGTTATCATCATCTACTCATGAATATTATTATTCCCTCTCTGAATTCATCTGATAACATTACAGGAAGAGATAAAATCTAATATCTTTTTATCATGTAATCTAAACAAAACAAATATCATCTCGATTGCTGATCATCATTTATCATCAACAGTAATCAAAATCTCAAACATATTAACAGTTTAATTGCTTTAATCTACAACAATCAACTAACATATTAATACAAATCAGTTCCAATATATAAAAATGATTTCTCTCTCATCATTAACTAAAAGGGATCCAAATCAAAACAAATGTCACAATCAATTAAAACTTACTTTCAATTTACTAATCAATCCATAAATCAATTAGCCGATTCAGATTTTAATAAATAACAATTAGCAACTAAATTCCTAATAATTATCCTTTTACATTTGCTTTATTATCCAAACCAAAACAATTTAGTTTACCAATTGCTACTTAATTACACATTAATAATTAAAACAACAACAACAATTAGCATCCAAATAGTTATCAAAGAAGTCAATTTAACAATTGTAACAATTAAATTAACCAAATTAACACCTAATACTAATCACTATAAATACACAACACACAAAAAAACACTTAGATGATATTCATCCGCAAACAATTGATATTAGAACTCACAAAAAGCACCAAAAAGTTCATTATAAGGATTGAGTTTTTTTGTTTGGTCGATTTTCCCAAAATTGGCGCGAAATTTGAAAAAAAATCAAAAAATTCGCAAATGAAAAAGAGAAACTCAATTCTTATAATAAAAAAATCACAAAATTTCCAACAAACGATCCTCCCTGAATCCATCCCTCACCACTACACACTCACAATCACTCTTATCATGTAAATTACCACCCACAATATAATTCATGATGAATTTTTCTTCTCTTTCTCTTTCTCTTTCTTTCTCTCTCTTCACATGATAAACACGCAACTTTTACAATTATAAATGAATCATTCACAATACACACCATAAATACTATAAATACTATAACTTACACTCGCACTTGACCCAAATTATCAATGAAAACATTTTGATTACTCATAAATTCCCGATCCTTTCGTTTTATCATGTAATCTATTTATTACCTATTGACAATATTTACCACACCCTTTTCCTTGGGTCATCAAGTATTCTAGGTATGAATCTGTTTGGATGTAAATTTTGCGACAAAATGCCGGACAATACAACCCAATGTGATAGAAAAAATTTTGACTCACTTCTTTGGGCATTAGTGACAGTTTTTCAGGTATATAATTCAACCTATTAATATATTTATCTCTCAATTTCATTTATATATTTATCATGAAAATTCATGAATCTGAAAAAAAACTTGGATTGAAATTGAATTTGATCATAAAAAATGCACCAAGAAAAACATTTCCAAACACCCAATCTCATGGATAATCAATTGTAATTATTGATTAAGCTTAATTTAGATTTGTGATTGTTATTTGATTGCAGTTGATTTAACCATGAGAGAGACCGAGGCTCCTTTTTAATTGTTCTGATAATGATTAGTTAAATCATTTTGTTTTCTTTTCTTCTTCTAAATTTCCCATTCAATCAATGAGATTGATTTTCTATTACAATTGTTATTAAATGATTCAGGAAGCAGCAAAAGTTGAATAATATTATTATACCAAAATGAATAGGATGACAATTCAATTGTTGATGCTGACAGAAAGTGTAACTAACAAGAAATGACCAATGTCCAGTTATATTCAACATATTAATCGTAAATAATAAATAATAACAAGGGATTCACTTGTTGAACATAAACAATCATATGAAAAGATGAAACCAGAATCATGATTACGATAAAGATAAAAGTGATTAATTTGATATTAACAATAATAATATATTAACAAGTTTATTATCATAGGATGATAATGATAATAGTTATAAGGAAAAATGTTTTTCTGTCTATGGGTTATCCTTTTGATATTTCCCCATGATGATAATAATAATAATATACTATCATGATGATGATTTTGATGGTTTTGTCTCTATCAGAATTTTTCTTTTTTTTTATTATTACTGTTATTATTTTATCATTCACTTTTACCAGTAAGTTTACTTTTTGCTGCTTCTGAAATTCTGACAAAGGAAATGTTAAAATGCGATATTACGTGACTTTTATTTCGGTACAAATGTGTATACCGAGATGTAAGGAAGATAAAGGAGAAGAAGATGAAAAGATAAAAGAAAGATGAAGAGAGAGATTAGAGAGAGAGAGTGAGAAAGAGAATGAAGATTCGTATGAAAAGTTCTGAGTTCCATGGGTATTCGTTGACAACATTTCTTTTTTCTTCATGTTATCTTTCCCTCTCTCTCTCTTGATGATACACCTTTTTGATTGCACGTTGACATTGCATTTGCATTTAAAATCCACTCCGATATTACCTCATTTATTTGCATGATGATAATGTTAATAATCATGGTGATTGCTCATTCGATGCTTGATATAAATTGACTTCTTGATACAATTTTTACCTTTTTGTTGTTCTTGGTAACAATTTACCACTAATTAACTATTATTACAGGTACGATATGAAAACTTATTGTGACAAAAGGTATTTACTCAGTGTTTATATCCAAATAATAAAATGATATTTTCATAATATTAATATGGTTAAGAATAATGTTCTAGCTTTTCGATGAGTCGAAATATTTTTCTCTGTATCTTGAAGTTTATGTTTCCAATTCTTATTTGTTTCATGTTATTACCTTTCATTTGTTTTCTTCCTTGGAACGGAAAATTTATCCACAAATGGACAATTTGTTTTCCATTTATTTATATTTTCATTTCGTTTGCGATTTTTGCCTCTGTTCGAAATTTTTGTTCTAACATTTCTGATGTTCGAAAAACTTTCAAACGAACAAAAAAAACTGATATCTTGACAACTTTTGATGTTTTTTTATTCTTTGTTATCATTTCCCAAAATGAGATAGAAAAGTTCAGAAAATAATCTTTTCTCATCTTATTCCAACCATAAGTTTCTCTCTCTCTCTCTCTCCCTCTCTTTCACTTCTTCCCTCTCATCCTTCATCATCCTCCCTCTTTCCTTGAAAACTTTTCTCACAAAACTCAAATTCTCTCTCATATACCATTACCATCATCCAAATACATATTAATTTATTTTTCTCTACAAATTTTCATCATCATTTCCATTTCCGGTTACGAAAAATTTACTCTACCAACTCTCTTCATCCTCATCATGATAATAATATTTTTCATTCCCTTACACAACCTATTTAACTCATTTGAATTTCATTGTTGATTTGCAAACAAACAAACAAACAAAATACTTTTCTTACACCTTATCAACATTTGAAACTGAATAAAATATCACATGATATCATGAACGAACCCATGTTATTATATAGTTGCCTTGGCATGCATCTTTTTGGCGGTAAATTTTGCTCCAAGCTTGATGGTAGCCCATGCTCTTGTGAGGACATTTTGAATAGTACTGTCACTTGTATATGTGATCGTAAACGTTTTGATAATTTTCTCTGGGCCTTGGTCACCGTTTTCCAGGTAAGACAGATAATTACAAAGGAGCCTCATGCTAATTAAAATATAATAATAATAATAATTCACAATTCTAATTCCCCTCAATTTGCAATCTCATGGTTTTTCCACCTCAACACAAAATTCAATTTGCAATCAAAAGTTCATAATCCAATCAGTAACTAATAGATTCACAAGTTTCTCACTCACCATGATTTCCTTCCCAAATTGTTCAGTAATAATGAACTTTTTCAGTTGAGTGGAAAAAAGAATATTAAAAAAAAATTCTCTTTTTCTTTCTGCATGATGATGATCATTTTCACATTTAATTCTGAACAATTTAAAAACAAACTAATCGCAATTGCAAGCAAACGTTTAAAACGATAAACAATTTGCAATAAGTGAAAATAATTTCCACAGGTAAATGAATGGATTTAATTGTGATTCTAATTGAATTTTTCGTTCTTCTCTTTTCTCTCTCTCATATTTCTTATGTGTATTGTTTTTCTCTTGTTGTGTTAATTACAATTCTAATCAAATTATCTTCGCCATTAACAATTAAATGATGAAAGATCTTAACACAAGAAGATTGGAATGTTGTTCTTTTCAATGGGATGGAAAGAACTACTCATTGGGCTGCCCTGTATTTCGTTGTTCTAATGACTTTCGGTAATTATGTTCTCTTTAATCTTCTGGTTGCAATTCTGGTTGAAGGATTTTCTCAAGAGGTAAGAATTATAATTGAATTAATTAATATGAAACAACGAAAAACAGAAACAAAATGTACCAATTATAAGTAATAACTTTCGTTGCAACGATTATTGTTGTGAGGTAAACAAATCGTTTCAACTCAATCGTTTGATATCAACAAAACTTCAACTTATCATGTTAATGGTGATGAGAATTTATTTTATTTTTCATCTTGATGGTTGAATTTTTTCCCCCCTGAACTTTTGTATATGAGTCTTGAATTTATTTCCAACTCAATTGTTAAAGTTTACAATTTAAATTATTTAACTCTTTTCATGGAGACTGAGTTTTTATGTATGATTTATACCCTGGAGGATTATCAATGAAAATTATTCATTCACTATTATGAAACTTTTGGTTTTACTTTTTGGTGTAAATTCAGTTTTTCAGAATTATGAATATGGAATGAAATTTATATATATAATACCAAACCAATCAATTTAATTGATTGACGTGCATAGATTTCTGTAGATTTTATCAAACAATTAATTTCGTTTATTGTCATCGATCAATTTAATATTAGAATAGTAAATTTCTAGAACTTTAGATTAGATTAGTCAGAATTTTTATCTCTTCAAATTCTACTCACAAAATTCTGAATGAAATTCTCGTGACTACAGGAAGGGAAAACTTTATTTCGATTATTCGACTAACCACAACAAAGGTGAAATATTAAAGAACGAAAATTAAGTTTGCTGATGAGAAAAAGAATTTCAGAATTTATTGTTCGTTTATCTCAGTTGTCTCGTTGTTTCATTCTTAGATTTGGAACTTTTCACCATGAAATCGAACCAAAGTAGTTACTATTTAAGTAATAAATCGAAAAGAGAACAGGAAGTTACAGCTAATTTATTATCCATTGATACAAGATGAGAATCGAATTGAAGAAGAGAGAAATAGATTATCATGGGAGTTAAAAGTTCTTTTTTCGATTCAACGTTTCTGATCCAAGATCGACACTCAAAACTTTCGACATAACATTAGAATTATTCCAATGATTCTAGATTAATATTTCTCGTGGTGATGAATCCACGACGATAACTTTTTATCCGAAGAAACAAGTGAAGAAAATGATATTCGAACGAAAAGTTCTAAAGAAGAAACGAATAATTTTCATCAGTCGATTCACATTCGACAAGCGAAAATAAAATATTCGTTTTATCTTTTGAACTTTTCGAAAACAATGAAAATATCAAATGTCCAGTTAATACAAAATTCGGATGCAAGAAAAAAAAACAAGAGATGGAAGTTCTAATTCACCTTAAAATCGTCTCGAATCATTTAACGAACCAATAATAACCAATGCCAGTTTAATGATGATTGAAGATTAAACAGTTAATCAATATTGAATAATGGACTATTAGAACTTTTATTTTTTTCGAACAAAAAAACTAGAGTGAGACAGAGCAAGTTCATTATCGAGTATTAACTCGACATTAATATTACCATTAAATTTGACATTAGTATTTTCCATGATTGTTATTAGAACTTGAATATCAGGAAAAAAGTTCTGTAATTTAGTTTTTCTTTTCATTGCAATTGGATTCAATTGATGAATAACTTAAATAGACAATATTAACTTGTAGCATTATCATCATTATTATCATCTAGCCTTCTGTCTGCAAGATAAATGAAATTTCAATTGAATCATTGATATGAACTTTTCCATGAGTATATTAAGAGTCTTTCATATATTTCGTTGATTTGTAATGAAAAAGTTTTTAATATTTCAACCAACTATTAATGAAACTTATTTCCACTCAAGATTATCAAGGATTTTGATGAAAATATTATTTATATTCAATTCAGGATTCGTTTCATTATTTTATTTTCCTCCCTTCACCCTGAATGAATAGTATAACAATATGACTCAGATTGATAGTAATACACTCATGAAACTATTGATTAGTTAATTCACTTGTTTTCCAAGAAAATTGAATCTCTCATGAATATGTGTGAAAATCTCATGAACAAAGAGATGAAACTTTTCATGGTAAATATATAAGTGTCAATGGTGAATTAATGTAAGCCATTGGTTACCTTTGATCACACTGGATGATAATAGTAACTTCTCTGGGGTGGTCAGTATGATATTTTTGTGTTTTCCATGAGATGGACACTGAATGAGATGAAATTTTTACCATGTAATCTTGGTATGTGATTATAATCTCAATATCATCCATATAATATAATATAAAGTGATGTGAATCCAGATTGAGACAAAGAAAAATGTCAATTCTATTTTAACAATTACTATTGAACGACTCAAATCATTTGGTCAGTTTGGGTCAGTGATAAGATATTGAGGTTGATTTTTGGCCTTTAGGCTCTGGACTCAGAATGAAAAGGATTCATTCCAAGTGAATTGGAATCAGTAGAAAGAGAAAAAAATTCTGTCCATTTCGATTGCAATATGGGAATTAGAACTTTTTTCTCTCCCTCTCTATCTTTGTTTTCGACCAAAGGGAAATTGTTTTCTCTTCTTGCTTTTATCATCCTCATCTTCATTTCTATCATCTCAGTTCACACAAGTTGAACTGAACAGATTTCAGTTGAAGAAACAGCAATTAGGTCAGCATGATACAGATGAGAATGAAAAGTAACATGATGATGATTTTAAATTAAACATGAAATGAAGTGAAAATAATTTTCCTGTGAACTTGAATGTTAACATAAAATGAAAAGTTCCAAGGTGAAAAAAAAACTCAGAGTCTCAATAGAATTAACCATGAATAGAATTATCTTTTTTTTCTAACAGTTTTATCTATTATCATCTTATCATCATCATCACCATCGTGTTAATGGTGATAAGTGTTAAAGTTGTTAAAAAGTTAAGTACAAATAACTGAATGAAAGTTTTACTCATGAAAATTTGTGATTCCTTTCATGAATCCAAGGTAACATGATGATGATGGTGATGATCATGTTATTGAATTGTTATTGTTACTCAGCTTCATGGATACGATGAAAGTTTTGAAATGCTTCATGATGATGATTTTGATAATGATGATGATGGATATGAAGACCAAAGAGATGAGGAAAGATGGAGAGATAATAAAAACTGTCATAAAATTGATTATAAAAAAAGAATAATAAACTTGCTCTCTCTCTCTCTCTCTCTCACTGGTCATCATCTCTCTTCCTACTCTCTTCTCTTGATTTACCTTTTTCATTATCATCTTGATGGAACATTTAATTTCCTTCCTGTTTCTTACTCACAATTTTATCTATTTTTCTTTCTCTCTCCAACCAGAATCTTCATTTCCTGTGAATTCTTTACATTCTTTAAATTCTTTACCTTTATCATCACCATTTACCTGTGAACTATCATCATCTTTATTACCCTTTATCATCTTGATGATAATATAAACTCCAAAGTAACAATAACAACGAATGATAAAAATAACAAATGATTGGTCATTTTTTGCTTTTATCATTCGAGATGGTCAAGAATAACTAGAAAGGTTCAATTTCGAGACTTTTGATTTATGTCATAATCGTTACGTTTTTTTTTGTTCTCATTCGAATTGGAAGAATAGAAAAAAAAACTGAAAATTCGAACATAAAATATATCTAGTTTCTTGGTTTCTTCTCTTATATAAAGTGACCATCATGATAATATCGAAACATCAATAATCATATTTCACCTTTTTCTCTTGGTGTCCGAAAATTGGATCATCATCATATCTTGAGATGGAAAAAAGTACAAAGAAAAATATGATAACTTTTTGGTCACTTTGTGAATTCATTCTCAGAGATGACCAGTGGCTTTTTCCTTTTTTTTTATTCTCACCATAATCACCATTGAATTAACTGAACTTTTATTGTTCATATTTCATCACCAGTTCTCAATCTTGAGATGATAATAATGAAGACAACATATCATCATTATCGTCATTCATTCAGATCTCATGCTATGTTTCACTTTCCATCATTCTTTTCAGGGGATTTTCTTGACTTCTCCATTAGAGTTATCATCATGATCATCACCACCTACACTTTTCCCCCTTCTACTATCGATTAACTCGATTGTAATCAATCTTATCTTTCTCTTTCATTTTGTTCCCCACCTTCGACTGTTTCCTCATCCTCTTCATCTTCTCACCTCATCTTGATTAGATTTTCTCTCTCTCTCTCTCTCTCTCTCTCTCTCTCTCTCTCATCCTTCTCTTTCAGAACATCTCTAAAGATGAAGATGACAAGACTCACCTTTCATCATGTTTCTCCTTCAATAGCCATTTCTTGTCATTTTTGTCATTGGAAAAAAAATTTTCTCTCCTCATCATTCATTCATTTATTCAATCCTCTTTTCCACTCATTCATAATCCACCCCACTCTCTATTTACTCATTTAAAGAACCAACTTCCGTTTATCATGAGAAACTAGTCCAACTTCCGGTTATTAACAAGTTTTCACATCACGAATTCAAGTCGTAAATAAATGTACACACAAGAAAAAGAAACAAACATAAATAACCAATTGAAACCATCAGATTGAATCGTAGTATCTGCAGTTTATGAGGAAAAAACTTTTCGGAAAAAAATTTTTTTCGAAATTTCGATTTGGACCTTCGATTATTATATAAGATAAACATGATCATGGGAAAGTATTGAATGAATAGAAAAATTCTTAGTGATATTACAATAGAAAGAAACAAAAAGAATCCATTGATAATCTAATCTACTCATAGAGAGAAAATTTTTGCCGTATTTTCTTGTTTCGGAATCACAATTGTTTTCCCCATGAATACTTGATGAACTCACCATGTAATCACCATTATAATCTGATGAATATAATAACATGATGTAAATAAGTATTTATCATCGGTATAACATGAGAAACTTTCCTCCAACCAATCAACATACTCAGCGAATAATAATCATCATTATCATTCCCACTCCCATTTCCATCATCACTTTTACTCCAAAGTGTATTAACACTCTGGTAACAAATAACCTAAAGGTAATAAAACGTAAAAATGTTTCATCAGTCATCCAAAACTTATCATCATCATCTATCCAAAAAAAGGATAAGAGAGAGAGAGAGAACTGAAAATTCATTAAAATAATTTACGCCATGATGAAGATTCTTGTAGTTGGTGTTATTAAGGTTGACAAAAAGGTGATTATTTCATGCTCATGTTTCACCCTCTCACCCACTCCATCCTTTGCTCCTCATCCTCATCACTTTTGCCACTTTCCATCTTATCTCAGCTTTTTTTTTTCTTCTTTCGTTTCCAAAAATCTTATTATCCTTTTTTCCCGCCTTCCGCTCAAACTTCCAACTCCTTTTTTCTGATGCTCCACTCACTCACTTTCTCTCTCACTCTCCTTTGATTCTTGATGAATAGTCTTGACTGCATCTTTAATCAAGTTAATTGTTACCATTGATTAAAATATCATTCACCAACAAGCTTAAATTAATAGTGGGTGATGTAATCTATTTTTTTCTCAATGTTCTTATTCACCTTAACCAACAAGTTTCATCAGAACTTTCAGAATCTTCATGAATTAACAGTTACTCTCTCTCTCTCTCAGTTTTCCATGTGACAGTTTTTTTTGTTGATTTAATCACCATAATAGCTGTGATAGTAATCATGGTAATCGGAAAACAAGATGAAAAAAATTACTTTTACAGAGAAAAAGATCATTTTTCATTCAAATTTCGTCCAAACAGAATGTTCCAAATACTCTGAATTTTCAGAACTTTCAGAATAAAGCCTCTTTCTCTTTCTTTATCTCTTTCGCTTAAATACTCATCTCATCATCATCATCATCATCTTTTTGATATTATGTAAATGATGATTTCACCTTGAATATATAATAACAATCATGATGGTTCATGATGGTGATTATCATCATCCTCTTGATGAAGCTTGAAATCATCTCAATATTGAGTCAAGTTTTTCCCATTTCCATCATCATCATCATCATCTTATCATCCTCTCTCTTTTATAATATTATTAACACACTTACATATAGGGAGAAAAAAATTATAAACCATCTTGACTTCCGGGTTTTCATCATCATCATAATCATTAAGATAACATTGTACCCATGATAAGTTGATCAGAATTAAAATGATTCAGTAATAACGATAACATCACACAAATGAATAACTTGATATATATATTTATGGTTTCCAATAGTTACTGATGCAACTTTTTTTTTCTCACTCTCATTTTCCGTTTGCTCACTAATTGAACTTTTCTTACTCATGCAATCATATTATATAATCATCATGAAACCATCTCCATGTATTAATGGTTGTTTATTCATTTGCATCATGAAGAAAGATGAAGATAAAAAGGATTCATTGGATGGCGAAGATGAAGATGAGGAGCAGATTAAAGATGAAAAGTTAATCTATTTTTACAATTCTGGAGATAATCTTGAAAAAGGTAAGTTGATATTCATCAGGTATGAGTTATGATTTGGTGTGGGGAAATTTTCATTTCCATGAACTTTCCTGATTATCATGTAATATTTGAAAACTGTTCCAATTGAGTCAACATTTAATTAACTTTAACAATCACACAAAGGTAAAGATTAATTATCAATTTGGTAAGGAGAAAAGTTTCCAAATGAACAAAATTAAATTTTATCGTTAATTTCACCATGAAATGAATTATTCTCAGCTGAATTTGCTACTCGAGTTTCTAACGATCAATACTCAAAGTTAAACGATAATTATGAGTCTTAATGATTTATATATATGTTAGACTCTTGTGTTATCATTATTAAAGAATTGACAAAAAATAATTCCCAGGTAAAATTCAGCCAATAATTCATGATGAACATGATAATATCAACAGGAAAGAAAACAAGTAAAATCAATTTGATAATATGAAACAAAGTTAACAAACTCGAACCCAAATAAAAGTACTAATGATAACATGAAAAGTTTTTTCTCTTTCTATTCTGAGGTTAGAACTTTATCATTTTTCTGTTCGATTTTGACCAATCCACAGTTTTCTCTTTTCGAATTCACTTAGAACTTTTTTTTTTCTTTTTTCTCTGGTCAATATTTCTCTCTCTCTTTCTCTCTCTCCTTCTTTCTTCATAAGATATTATATAAAAATCACTTATCATTTTTCATTCATTTTCACTTGAAGTTCATTTTTTACCTCTGAAAACCATTCAGTTCATTTTCATCATGTGTTCATGATAAACTCATGTTCAGAGTTGAAAAAAAATCAGATAATCTTAAGTTGATTTATTGAGTTACCATGAAATATAATCATCTCATGATATTATTTCATGTTGTTGTTGTTGTTGTTTATTATCAACATCATTTGTATCATTGGTGGTTTTTTAATATTAGTTAGTTGATTGTTGACTTGATGATGGTAATAAATTTTTGACAATTCACACCTTGAGGCTATTGGAAACTTTTCCTTGTAACAATTTATATTAATGATAATATTGATTGTCAACTGATTAAGTTAACAATTTATGATGTAATACAAATCCGTTCATATTTATGTTAACCATTATTGTTGTTGAATTAACTTTAATTTTTTGTTAACAATTTGGTTTCCACTTTTTATTAGAATTACATTTATTAACTAATCCACCGGGGATAACACCAAGATTTTTAAATACCAATAAACTTGACTATTCATTTGGATTTGAATCAGTTCAACATTCATCAACAGTTAATCCGAACAATTTAATCTGTAATGTTGATCAAAATGCACAATTTAATTGTGATCCATCATCATCGTTTCCACCTCGAATTGTTCATACCGCTGCAACACCACAAGGCTCACCAGGTCCTCAAGAACTTTCCTATGGACATAAATATCTTGGTTCGTCCACTTTGGCACTAAACAGTTCAACACCACCTCCATCAGCACCATTACCAATTCTGTCGATGAACAAATCACCAGTAAGTACACACACTCATCGAGCTTATAACGAAATTTTCTCTCTCTTTCCATTATTGATTATCGAAATTAACTTGTTCGTTATTAGGCTAAAACCGATCAAAATTTACCCTCGACAAGCATTGGACGCAAGTTAAGTACGTTAACTTCATTCATGCCGAATCTGATTCCTGGAACTCCGTTCAGATTATCACCTTACTCAACAATCCGTCGAAATAGTGTCAATAAAAGTGATTATCCTGATCGTCCATTGATTAGTCAACCAATGATCTTTGAACGTATCGGTGTCCATTCTCATCAACATCAACAATCAACTAATGATCAGTCACAACAATCAACAAATATCGCAAGTACATCAACAAATAAACAACAAGGTGAAGTTAAAGAATCTAAATTATCATCAACAATTAGACAAGATGAGAATCAAATTGATGAGACAAGAAGAATGCTAATCAAATCAAATGAATCAAATTTTGATCAATCATTAAATTGGCCTTCATCACCTTGTCCACAATCAAAGCAACAGTTGACTGAAAATCATTTAAATTCATCATCATCATTGATCAACAGACCATCAAGTAAACAGTGTAATGGTTGTTTATCAACTAATAATCAACAATCAAATCAATTAATTGATTCTCAAGTTGCAGTTACATCAACGGTTGTCTCCTTTACACCAACATTGACAGGATATCAGATCAATAATAATAATGGTCAAAGAAAATTGTCTTTCAATTCATCTCCAACTTCACCACCTCCTCCACCGGGAACAACAGTTTTCTTTCCTGGTAGTAGCCATGAAATACTGACCAGTGGTCATGATGAGAGTAAACGTGGATCACAAGGTCCAATTGTTACACCTCGAAGTTCATTAAGCCTTAAATCTCCAAATGATTCACTTTCATCTCCATCTCCTGGTCACTATTCAGGTGATAAAAGATATTCATTGGTCCATGAAATAAAAGCCATGAGTTTAGGCAATTCTTTGAGTGGAGTTTTTTATTGTTCATCTTTGATTGCAAGAAAATATTCATCTGAAGGTGAACCAACAACACCATGTCCACCACCATCTCAACAACAACCCTCCCTTACACCGATAACACCTCCACCCTCGGGACCGATAATAAATCAAGAGACTCTTAATAACTGTAATCATCTACCTAATGAAACCTCAGTTACACCAACTGCAGTTGATTCAATGAGTAAACGTGGAGGAAGTGGCGGCGGTGGTGGTGGTGGAAGAGACTCTCGAAGTAGTAAATCAGTGAGAATTGAGGGTGGAAAAAGTGAGGGAGGTACAACCACCACTTCGAGTACAAACAAGAAAAAAGGAGCCTCACCTGTGGACGCAAGTAGCGGTGGTAGTTATCCTGTCACCTCTACAGGAATCAGTGGTGGTGGTGAATTTAATAATAATAATAATCTTACAGTGGGTGGACTGCAAGAGCGTAAATTTTGTGCCTACTTTAAATGGTATGATTGGATGTCCAAGAGAGACAATTGTAGTCTCTTTATTTTCCCACCCGAGAATAGGATTCGTATTAATTGTGCCATTATAACGGAACATCGGTGTTTCGATTATGTTATTTTAATCTTTATCTCTCTTAATTGTATAACTTTGGCCATGGAGAGACCTAAAATCCCTCCATGGAGTTTAGAACGTGAAATGTTAACCGCTGCGAATTATGTTTTCACCGTTGTTTTCGCCCTTGAAATGGCTCTCAAAGTAATCGCCAATGGCCTTTGGTACGGTGATAACGCTTATTTTACCAGCGGTTGGAATGTAATGGACGGTATTCTGGTCGGTGTTTCGCTTTTTGACCTTTTCCTTTCATTCATTGCTCAGAAAAGTCCAAGAATTTTTGGTATTCTAAGAGTTTTTCGTCTTCTTCGTTCCCTTAGACCTTTAAGGTAAAAAAAGAAAAATATTCATTATCGATAATCAATCAAATTCTCAATACAATACTCTCTTTTTCATCTTCTTTCAGGGTAATTAATCGAGCTCCTGGACTTAAATTAGTTGTCCAAACATTATTATCTTCCCTCAGGCCAATTGGTAATATTGTCCTTATATGTTGCACTTTCTTTATAATATTTGGTATCTTAGGTGTACAGGTAAACCTTTTAATGAAACATTTTCGATACATAAAAATCTAAATTGTTCAATCAATTAATTGATTTTACCATTTGATAATTAGCTCTTCAAAGGTGCTTTGTTTTACTGTGAAGGACCTGATGTCCGTTTCATAAGAAATAGAACCGATTGTCTAAGTGACCCTAGAAATCGTTGGGTCAATCGAAAGTACAACTTTGACAATCTCGGCCAAGTAAGTGACCACCAAATGAATGGACACAAACAAACACTAATCTCAATCTCAATCTTAATCTTAATCTTGAAATTATTTCCATAGGCTTTAATGGCTTTATTTGTCCTCTCATCCAAAGATGGTTGGGTTAACATAATGTACACTGGACTGGACGCTGTCGGTGTTGACCAACAGCCTCGTGAAAATTACAACGAATGGCGTTTACTTTATTTTATATCTTTCCTCTTGTTGGTTGCATTTTTTGTACTCAACATGTTTGTTGGTGTGGTGGTTGAAAATTTCCACCGATGTCGAGAGGAGCAAGAAAAAGAGGAAAGAGCTCGTCGAGCCGAGAAACGAGCTCGTAAACTGGAAAAACGGCGACGAAGTATGCCCCTTATTCTGAAACTCGAGATGGTCTTCGAATTTCCAATCTCGATTTATAATTTTCTCAAATTCCTTGTCACCACAACCCATTTTCGTATCATGCATGTGATTGATATAAGTCATGGTTCCACTGGTGATGCAACAACCAGTAATCTTAATCTCACCGCTTATCCCAATAATCTAAGTGCACATAATTATTATTATTTCAATTCGAGGCAAAATAAGTTCATTAGTAGGCCAATATCCAAGCGTAATGTTGATGATGATGAGGATGATGAAGAGGAAGATGATATTGGTAATAATAATAATTATACTAGATTCAAATTGCTTGGAACCTCAACCTTGACCGCTGCATGTTACCTGGGCTCGTCCAATCAACTGACCGGTGTCCATTCAAGTTCAAGTTCAATCAATTCTGGTAGAGTATTTGTAAAATATATCTTTTCTTCCTTCATTTTATCATAACAATTAATAATCTAATCAGTTAATCAGTTGTTGCTGGTTAATAATAATAGATAATATTAACAATAATTTCGTTGAGAATTAACAAAAAAATTAACTAATCCTCTTTACTTATTAATCTTTTAGATAATAATCTAATCTCTTGCTTACAATTAATCAAATTGAATTAGCTTAATTACTTATTCATACATCAAGACAATTTTAATTTCTCATTTTAATCTAATTATATGAACAACAATTTAAACTTGATCTTAATCTTGATGAGCAATTTTCTGCTTGATTACTTGAAATTGGTTAATCAGCTAATCAACTGTAAAAGATTAGAGTTACTTTTTTATTATCTCTTCATGAAATTTAGGGAATTGATTAAATATTGACTTTAATACTTGACTACAATCAGATTACTACTGATTAATTGATTAATTGTTCCAACAGTAACTTATTATCATGATAATGATGAGCAAACTGATGAAACTATTTGGTATGATATTAAATTGATGAGGTTGATTCTGAGTTTCATTTATCATTTGAACTTTTCACCGAGGGAGAAGAAAAAAAAATGACTAAAGTCATTGAGAGTGGGAACATTTTTCCACCACCACCGCCACCACTCAGTCTCCCACCCCAATCAATCAAATCTCCCCTCATGTTATACTCTGAATTGATGAATTATTAATGAAATACAGAATTCATGTTCATATATATACCTGATTCATGTTTCTCACCTGAGATTCAATAGTTTACAATATTCATGGAAAAACATTTAAGTTTCTCTTCTTGTTCCATCACCATGTTCAGAACTTTTCTAGTAAAAATTTTCTCCTTTTAGAACTTTATTATTATTATTTTCCTTCTTTTTTCAGAAATTTGCCTTCTCCTGTAATCTCTTAGTATATTCATACAGTTTATCATGAAGATAATAATCTAAAGATGATAAAATAACTGAAATCAGGTCAATCTTTAAGTTAGAATATTTTTTTTCATCTTCTATTCTGATTCTGTTGTTGTTTTTTTCATCCGCATCTTCATTGAATCTGAAATTCATATCATGCAAAGGTTAGATTACAAAGTCAAAGATTACATCATTCAGATATAAACATTATCATGTTGATGTTTTTTTCTCCATGAAACTTGTTAGAGATGATATATCATCACTACCTGAGGAAAATGGTTAACAAAACAAATTAAATCTAATCTCAACTTTCCTCTGTTGACCTTAACTCAATTCGGTGTAACTTTTATATGCAAAAGTGACCACGGTTGATTCATATTATCATGAAATTCTGAGCTCTAAGTGTTGATAAAAGGTTTCTACTCCAGAGTTGATGAAAAATCTACAGCAAGAGAGAGAGAGAGAGAGAGAGAGAGAGATTAAAGGTGAAAAAGAAATTATCACATTGGAAGTTACGGTTTCACTTTCGAATTTTTTTTGAAAAGTTCATTTTTTCTTCCTTCATGGTAACTCATAATTTTGTTTGTGGTTTCATGGTTGTCAGAACTTAGACCATGATGAAAAATAGATGATTTACTTTCTTGATGTAACATCAAGTTTGGAAGTGAGAGAAAAAAAAGTTCAAGGATGAAACAAATTTCTCACTATCATGATAATTTTACCTGAGAACTCATTTTATCATTTGGAACTTTTTAAATCCTATGATAAAAATTCCATCTCACCCTGTGTATTGTTGATTTATCTTCGTTTCATGATTTTGATTTTCTCACTTGGACAGAAACCATTAAAATTTTCACCAATAAACATTGAAACTTTTCAGAATCATCATCATCATGTATTCACTGAGTGTATAACGATAAGTTGTTAATCATGATCTTCAAATTTCTGTCAGTAATTAAATGTTAACATGATTAGTTAGCTTTTCATAGATCCAAATAACTATTCACTACGAATATATAATTTCTTTCATGATAATTCATGATCATGAAAGTTTCATTCTTGATGTTGAGAACTTTGTTCGGAAAAAAGTTCGATTCTCAAATGAATAAGATAAAAGATTATTGATGTTTCGACGAGTGACATTGATTAGAATAGATTTTTCTTTCTCATCCTTATTCCATTTCGTTCACAATTAACAAATTGATGATAACTCAACAGATAGAATTAGATTTCCAATCCTCTCTCTCTCACTTTCTTTGCTTGGGGTGGGAAAATGTTTCCATGGTGGATCAGAATCTCAGGAATCTAATTCTCTCTTTGATTGTAAACGATCCCTAATAGGAATCGTATACATATCAACCCATGGATAGAAATTCATTTTCTCGATTCCAAGGTTTCATTTATTCATCTCATTCGCATCTCATGATGATGATAATGGTTTCATGATACAATTTGATGGATCCAGTTTCACATGAATCATTTATTCAGATTCATTTCTTATTCTTTCCCATCCTAATATCTACTCTTCAATTATCATCTTTTGTTTTATCCCCTCCCTGCATCCGATTTCACCTTTACAAACTCCCAAATTACCTACACACTGACGTAAACCTGATGATGATGATTAAGTAGTCATCCAAAAGATGAAGATAAATATGATTTCTTAATCGTTATTAGAACCATGAAATACACTCTGAGAAATTCAATAATCCATGATAAGTAAATGGACAATCAGAGCTACTAAAGGTAATCCCAAAAATCGTTCAGATCAAAATGCTTCTTTTATATTATTAGTTTACTTTTTCTCACTTAATCTTGAAGATAAAAAATCTTCCTCATCATCTCTCTCTCTCTCTCTCTCTCTTCATGGAAACAAATGAATCTAATCCTGCAAATGAAAGTGTCTCATTCATTCAAGTGAATGAACATTTTTCACCAAACTAATCATGTTGATGGTTAAAGAAGTGGTTTTCATAATGATTAAGTTGATGATTGATTAGCTTTAATTTTCATTCATTTCTAGCCAATTTACACTCAAAGATTGATTGACAATCCTGATCATTGACAAAAGTTAATTATCTTGACAATTACATGTAATAAACATCTTGATACGTTTTCAATGAGTTGGTGACTTTATTTTTTTTAGTTATTGATTGTATATTTGGATTTAAATTGATACCACAGATTTAGTATTAATATTAATAGTTGAACACTTTTTTGACAATATTGTTGAAAAACTGAACCGATCAATAATTGTGATGGAACAAAATTAAAACTAATCAATTGTTTTAATCTATTTATCATGATAAACGTCATGATAAATTGAATATAACTTTTTGCCTAATTAGATGAGAAACTTTTTTTTCTATCCAATTATCATTATCGAAACAATTGATTATCATTAGTTTACAGCAATATAATCAGGGAAAAAGTTAATCTAACAACAATTAACGAGAGAGATGAAGATGAAGATGAAGATAAAGACCAAGTTGATGATTATCACTTGACAATTATCATGAAAATGACCATTGAGGTGACCAGTTGATTAGGTGATTCTTATTATTGTAGAGACAAAATTGTTGACCAGAAAAAGGTTTTTCAAATTAAGTTACTTCCTTCATCATCTTTTCCTATTATTCAGCTTGAAACCCCTGAACAGTTGTAACAGTTAATTGGTTCCTGATAATAAGAGCAAAAACTCAGGTAATAATAATAAGGGAAAACCGGTCAACATTTTCATCATCCTCATCATCTTCATGTCCATCATATTCATGGTTGACCAGAAAGAAAGAGGGTGGAAAATGATTTAGAGAAAATAATTGTTACAATAGAAGAAGAAAAAATAAAACTGTAACAATGGAAAAGAAGAAAAAAAAAATACTATTCATAAGATTATCGACAAATACTCAGAACTTTTTTTGCGTCTTCACTATAAGTTTACCTACTCTCGAACTCTACTAACTATTGTAACTTTCAATTCTTTGTTATTCAATCGATTGACATGAGATTCATGAGAATGAATTTAATGGTAACATGAACAAACTCAACAGGAGTCGATTGATTGTTGAACATAATTGGGATAATATTTATTTTAATTCGATTGACACATTAGATAAACACGTTAATAGATAAATTGAGGTTCGTTAGTACCAATCCGATCAATTGATTGGCTAAATTTAACCAATTTACGATTGGAAAACTAAATATTCTCAATGTCAAGGTAAAAACATCATTCTGGTGATCTGATTCATTTTCACAGGAAAACAATCATGATAATCATTCATCATCATGGTGAGTAAGGAGGTGGAGGTTATGTGAACAGGCAAGTGATTCTTAGACCCTTATGATAATCAAGACTCGAAAATGGATCGATTTTATCTCTTGTTCTAATAGAACTTTTTTTTTCTTCTTCTTCAATGATTCTATCTAAGGTTTTTTTTTCGTTTTTTTAATGATCAACATGAACATTCAATGAATAATAGTAATGATGATGATGATGATAAGTTGCATTCTTTTACCTGAGTATTATCATCATTATTATCACCTTGCAGGTTCGATAAATATGAGAGAGAAAAAAGTTCTGAAGGAAAAGTTATTATTCCAAATTTTAATGAGATTCGGTTTCCATTGCTGAGTAATTCATCTCTCTCTCTCTCTCTGGTTTAATTTGATATCGAATCATATTTAACCAACGATTGGAAACAATGTTAATTCCTGTTGAGCAATTACAGTTTTAATCTTTATCATGAGTTGAATATTTTTCATTCTGTTACGACTTTTCCACCGAGACTTTCATGGTAAAATCAGGAGAAGAACAACAAATTGTTGCCTGAATAGACAACTTCAGTTGATTTGTATTCGAAATCGAGTAAATCAAATGTTAATCTAAGAAAAACAATATATTCCCGCTTTGAATGTTTCTTCCTCCGGAATTCCCATGATGAAAAAGTTTCGAGAAAAAAAAGTTCTAAACGTCTTGATAAAAAAAGTAACGAGTTCGAGAAAAAAAAATAACAAAAAGTTTAATATTTGATTGTTCTTATTTGTTTCTCAATCTCAACTTTATTCAGATTTTATTCACCATGAAAAATATTACCTATTCCCCTGAATTTGCATGTTAAATATTAATATTTTTGTTCATTGAAATTTTATTCCAAAAATCAATTGCTACTCTTTTTTTTCATTCTCCTTTTGCTTTGGAATCGCAATCAATTTTAATCACGATTGTGCTACATGTGTAAATCACTTCTCCTTTCAACAATTAACTCTGCTAATTAACTGATTGTTCTCAAATTTAAATTAACCTAGAGATGAGAGAACCGCCATATTATATTGGTTATGGTCCATTCCGATTAAAAGTTCATAACATGGTAACAGGGAAATACTTTGATGCCATAATCGCCGGTGTTATTTGTCTTAATGTTATTACCATGTCACTGGAACATTATCAAATGCCCTGGGTAAGTAAATGGATAATAATAAGTTTATCATGAAATTGGAATCATTTCCAATTTCAAAAGTTCTGAAAATCAAGAATCACTTTTTTTTCACAGAATTGATTTGAAAATCATTTTCTGATCAATTTTTTTCTCCATTTACTTATTCATTAATCATTTCTGATCATTATAAATTCATCAATTTTAACAATCAATAAATATTTATTAACGTAACGAGATATAAATATTAATTTCTTGTAATCAGATTATCAAATATTAATTAGAGAAAAGGAATTAAAATTGAAGAATTAGAATCAGATTATTTTTTATTTCTTTCTTTTTCTAAATTATCGATTGATTTCAAGAGTAGAATTTCCCCTTCCATCAAACTGATTAATTCTTTAAATTCTAATTTACTTGATCTAAATAATTTCTCCAATTTAATTCTGTTAATTAATTTTTGGAAAAAATTTTTTTTTCGAATAAAAAAGTAGCGCCATCTAGTTTTCTTTTCTTGCAGACTTAAAGGGTTGAAGAATTTTTTTTAATTTTCTTTTTCATTTTGATTAAGTTTCTTTTTTTTTAATTGTTTACAATCATGATTGTAATTGGATTGTTGGTGAATTTGTTTAATTTTCCATCTACAGGAATTGGAATATTCATTGAAAATGTTCAACTTTGTGTTTACCTCGGTGTTTGTTTGTGAGGCCTTAATGAAATTATATGCACTTGGAATCCGTCGTTATCTTAAAGATCAATGGAATCAATTGGATGTTATGATTGTAATTATGTCCATTGTTGGTATAATTTTGGAAGAAATGGAATCAGAATTGATTCCAATTAATCCGACCATAATTCGGGTTATGAGAGTTGCTCGAATTGCCAGAGTCCTTAAACTACTCAAAATGGCCAAAGGAATGCGTGCCTTGTTAAACACTGTTATGCAAGCGCTTCCTCAAGTAGGTAACCTGGGCCTACTTTTTTTTCTATTATTTTTTATCTTTGCTGCTCTTGGAGTCGAATTGTTTGGCCGTTTAGGTAACTAGATGAATTCTCCATGAAATTCCACCCCTTTGAATTTGTTCATCCAACTAAACAAAACCCCTTTTTATTTCCAACAGAATGTGATGACGATCATCCATGCCAAGGGCTTTCAGAACATGCCCACTTCCAGAATTTTGGAATGGCGTTTTTAACTCTATTCAGAGTTGCCACCGGAGATAATTGGAATGGAGTTATGAAGGTAAATTCATATAATCTTGTCTAGTTTCTTTATGAATGAATTTTAACTCCCAATCTCATTTTTTTTTTCTCTATGTTTTTTGTTAGGATACGTTGCGAGATCAATGTGACTCTTCACGAGATTGTCTGAGAAATTGTTGTGTTTCACCAATCATAGCACCGCTTTATTTTGTTATATTTGTCCTTTTGGCTCAGTTTGTATTGGTTAACGTTGTGGTTGCCGTTCTAATGAAACATTTAGAAGAATCTCATAAGAATATGGAGGAAGATGAAGATTATGAGATTGATATGGAAATTGCTAGGGAACTTGCTGCTGAAAAGAAAGCACTGGAAGATGCTATTGAAAGAAAGAAACGAGATGAAGAGTTACGCCGACGGAAATCAGCCCTTTATCGTGTTTCCTCTCTTCCGGCTAATTTTAAGTTCCATTTTAGTGATGATCTTTTATTGTTTGGTGGTGATGGAGAATCGGATGAAGATGCTGATAATGAAAGAAGAGGTGGAAATGGTAATGGTGGTGGTGCAGGTCAAATTTCCATGAATTGTTTCCAAGAACCTTTTAATTTACCTGGTCATCATCAATTACCTGGTTCGAATTCACATTTTAACCATCAAGAATATGAAAAGAATGAAGTTAGAGGTTATAATTTGATTAGATTATTGGATAATAATTGTGATTATAGTTCTCAAGGTGGACTTTGGCGTCGACCATCTGATGGACCATTTATTCAAATTGATACAATTGAAGATGAAGTCAATGATAATGTTAACTGTGGTCAAGAATTAGTTTCATCTCCTAATGATTACGATAGATCGTCTCAACCATTTTTAAATGAATACCCTTCTGGTTTAACTGTGTCACGAAAATTATCTGATGTTACCATTGTTGATGAAGAATCATCTTTACTCACTCAATGCCTTTTACCTTCATATCCTGAATTCACCTTGGAACCGGATGCTGCCTCAGTTGAATCATTAACTTGGTCAGGAGAGGCAAGTGGAAGTGACCATTCATTAAATTCATCGACATCTGACCACCAAGTTAATCAACAATCAACAGAACCACAACAGCAACAGCAACACGAATCTTCATTGTAGTTTAGTTCAATTTCAATCATTCATCTTTTAAAGAAGATTAAGTTTTCCTCATCATCATCTGCACCTAATTAAATAACAATTCACAATCTACATAGTTAATCCTGTTGAATAATATAATAATTGTCATTATTATATTATTATTCTCGTTATGATTGCCAAATGAGTTAGAGAGCAATTAAAAAAAAGGAAACATCGAGGATAATCAATCGCATCGCGATTAACAATCAATCCAATCAAAAGTATCTTCAAGATTTTTGATCAATATTTTTCTGTGATAGTTTGAAATCTCTCTCTCTCTCTCTCTCTCATTCTTTCTCTAGTCTTTTCTTCAACTTTTTGGCCAAACAATTAATCAAATTCAATTACAATAACAGAGGAAGACTAATCAATCCCACACACACACAAATGAACAATACAACAAAAACATGACGAAAATGATTACGATGATGAACTGAATTAAACCACAGTAATTAAGCTGTGTAATTAACATGTTTGCCAACACACAACCACACAAAGAAACAACTTAAATCTATATATTGTCAATATATCATAACATCTAATCTAATGTCATTATTTTAATTGTAATTGTTTCTTAAATGTATTACTATTACATCTCTTCAGTAACAGTTAATTACGAAACTAAAAAACGATAACAGTTTATATATAGTTCAATGATTTAAATGTAATCATTTCAGTACAAACAAAGAAAAATCAACTACAAAGAAATTGAATATAACCCATTAAAACAAAACGAGCGAGAAAAAAACTCCTCATCTTAATCATTTTTAGTTAATTTCTCAATTACAATTGTAATTAAAATTAAAATTTCGTTTTCACAACAAAGACATTAAACCAAGTCTAAAATCAATTCGATCTTCAATTAAATTAACATCGACAACTTATTAGAATTAAAATCTAATTAAATTGCAAAGAAAAACAATAATAAATGAAATTAATTGACAATTAAATTAATTTTCTCAAATTGGATTAAATTAAAATCTCTGAAAATAACGAGCTATTCAAAGAGCAAATGTCAGACAGACTAGTCTATTTATAGAGCAAAGAAACAAAAAAAAATTGTTTTCATATTTAAGGTGAAAAAGACACAATAACAATAAGAGATCTTTAATTGTTTTAATTGTAGTTGTTTTTCTCTTTTTTCTTGGTGATTAGTTAATTGTCTAATTATTCTTATTTTAAAGGGTTTGTCATGTTCTTGAATGAGAAATCACCGGTTGAAGGGCGAAAACAAGCTCAAAGAAATTCAACAAGGACAAAGAATAATAATAAACCAAATGAATCTCCTGAAATGAACAATTTTGAAATTCCATGTTTATTTGAGAATGAATTGGAAAAGTATCTTTTCTCAGAGGAAAGATTAGATGCCTCAAGCCCTGACCTTTGGCCTGAACAGAGTAAGTAATTATCTAATTAATGGTTTACACAAGTGTAATTACCATTGTTTGGTTTTTCTCTTTGTCTTAATTTTGTTTTTGTTTTTGTTTTTCTATTTGTATTCAGTTCCCGGAATGACTGATTTTTTAGCTCGTAGTTCACCAATTAACTCAGAATTGTTTCACAGTGATACTCTGGTGGGTGAGAAACAAGAAACACCCGAATGGCTGAGAGAATTAGACCAAGATGATATAAATATGCTCCATGGTTTCGGTAGTTTAACTACATTCGCTCTCCTTGATAGAGTAAAAGAATTGCAAGATCTTTCATTTCAATTAGGGTAAATATTATTATTCTTTCTAATAATTATTTCCAATTAACTGATTAGAATTGTTGTTAATTTTTTATATTCCTTAATCCATCAGGTTGGAAGAATCAAGGGAAATGACAAGAGGAAGATTTCTTGGTGTTTTATCAAGTGAAAATAATCCTCCATCTACAAGCTCTGGTTCGCTTTTCAATAGAGATTAACAATCTTCTTCTTAATGGTTCTCACAATACAATTTAAAATTATCCAGAAAGAAACGTGAAACAATCTGGTTTAATTAATTGTGTTCAGTTAACCGGTCAACAATCAGGTTAATTGTTAAATAATACCAAACAAACAAATGAACCGATCAACAAAGACATTGGATTGATAATCCTGATCAGTGCAAGATTAATAATTACCTTCTAACTAAATCAAGGATATTGTACATTTTGTGTTTATAATGGTGAAAATATTAATTTAATCATCATCTCCAATCAACATACAACTCAATTAACCAACAATTACAACAATAACCAAGGTGTTTCATAGTTAAATCCAATGGCCCAGTCATTTTAAAAGCCTGTTGTATAACCTGTACATTATATATTATTATTATTACTATTATTATTATCATCTTAAATGATATGGAAACAAAATGGATCCCAAGGATCTGTCACCTTTAACCATATAATTAATCAAAGAAGAACAATTTTTTTTTCATCTCTATCATCAATTTCCTTCATCATCATCATTATCAACACCATCATCAAAATACACACACAAACAACTTAACACTTACACCAATCAACATGAAAATGTTCAATGTCTGTGTAACAATTTAGCTGAATAATATCAAATTCATTTGAGGAACAATTGGATTACCGCTATAAGCGAGAAAATTAACTCAATTACAAAAATAATTGCAAATTAAATTGTTACATCAAATGAGATGCGATGATGATGATGATTTAACTTTGGGTGATTTTTAATAACTTTTACCTCTGATTTAAAATGTGTGTGTGTTAATTTTAATCAGTGAGTGTAAATTTACACTTAAAAAATCAATAGGAAACAGATTGATGATAATTTGGCTTCATAATTCAATCAAAACTAATGATGTAAACATATTAATTAATTGGAATTGCTCTTCGCCATTTATATATTCATCTTACTAATTGTATTTTTATCTTGCAATGTTAATCCACGAGGTATCAATTAATTGTCTAATGTCCACTCCAAGTTTGGCTTCGTAAATTGCTTCCAATGACATGATTTCCTTTTCTCTTAACAAAATAATATCATCATCTCCATTATTATTATTATTATTATCATCATTATGGTTATCAATTAATTTTAAAACACCATTCCAGGCAATCATAACTCCATTGTCTGTACAAAGATGCCTCGGGCAAGGGGCAACTACCTCTATTTTTGTCTCATCATAAAATGTATCCATTTGATCACAATAACTTTTCAAATTGTTAACAATGTAATTATTACAACCAACACCACCACTGACAACCAATTTAAGTTTCACTGGTGTTGGATTAATGTAATCAATTTTCCTTGGAATATCATCTAATTGTAATGATTGATAATTACTTGGTGTAACAATATTAACCAAATTAGTTGCCTCTAGATATTTAATTATTCTGTTGATTCGGCTTTTAAGATGGATAACAATTGATCTTTGAATACCAGCGGTTATATCGGAAATTTCTGGTAATGGACAATCAACCGGAAGATTGGGATGACTTTTTCGTATTGTTCGCAATTTACTGTCCCAGAAACCTCGTAATCCCGGTATATCGAAGTCGAAATGTCCACATTTACCTATACCCAATGTTCGTGTGTATCTCAATGGGTCACCCTTTTCAGCGGACATTTCGATGGCTTGACCACCAGAAACTGAATCATAAGGTGGACCTAAAGATGATACGACAAAATATACACATAAATTTCAATTAGTTTATACAAATTGTGTTCAATTTTCTGTGCTAATTAACATTACCTAGGTTACGAATTTTCAACAATCGAGCTTTTTTATCTAGAAATTCACCTGAAGAAAAAAATAATATCTCATTATAACTCGAGCTCGAGATGAATTGATCAATACAATTACTGACCTACCGGTGAATTATTGGACTCAGATAGAAGATAGAATTGATTAATACTCTTGACCAGAACTAACATTGTATGTCCACCACTAATTAGAAGTGATAAAAATGGAAAACCAATATCAGGTTGACTTAGATGAGCGGTAAGTGAATGAGCTTCCATATGATGGATTCCAATTAGTGGCTTATTATACTTGAGGCACAATCGCTGAGCATAATCAACGCCAATTTGAAGTGACAATATGAGACCAGGTTTATGTGCAATGGCCACTGCATCAATATCGTTTATTGAACAATCAGCCTTGTCCAGTGCTTCCTTGACCACACCGTTAATGGCCAGCGAGTGTTTCGATCGAGCGGTAATTGGTAAAATTCCTCCTCTTGAAACATGTAATTGTAATTGTGAGAAACGAACATCGGACAAAATTTTATGGTCACTTGTTACCACAGAAGCACAGGTATCATCACATGTTGATTCTAAAACGAAAAAAAAAACAAAATATTAATCAATTAATTAGAAAGAAAAACAAATCAAAACAATTAGAAAACCAAAATTTAGAGAGAGAGAGAAAAACAAAATTCAACTTACCAATTCCGAGAACTCTAATTGTAGAAATACACTTGAAACTATTTCTACACCAATTTGTTGAGTATCTTTTCGTTGGCCAGTAAAATCTGACCATCAGTCTAATTAGATTTAGTTAATTACGAAAGAAACAATCAATCAAAGAGACAAAATCAAATGTAAACAATGAAAATCTACATTAAGAGTCACATGCTTCAAGCATGTTCTTTGCGCGGTTAATACAATTTTTTTTTCTCGAAAAAAATTTAATTCAGTTGTTAATCTAATCGATTAGCTGATTGTCTGGAAATTGAAATGGAAAATTAAATGAATTATGATCAGTATATTATCTCAATGATTTTAATTGTTTCGCCAATTTATAATATAAGTGATTTATTGAGTTGATTAGGTGACATGATTTACAGATTGTTGATTATTTTGATTGTCATGATGATGATTAACATGATAAAAGATGAATTAATTTAATTAGAGTTTTGTTTTCATCATTGGAATGATATTAAATTGTTAAACTTTACATCAATGAAATAATAACAATGATAAGTTGATTAAATCTTAATCATCAGAGGTTATGAACCTTGAAAGGTAAATATAATAAAAAAAAAGATTAACGATTAACTGAATTAAATTAAATTTGTTTGTATCGAGAACAATTTTTATTGGAACAATCAAAATTTAATAAACTCTATTTACTTTTATATGATTGGTAACAAATCAATCAATCAATTAATCAATAATCTTGGTCAAGTTAATTATAGTTGAACGAGTTTACAAACTATCAGGTTAATCATTTCAATTTTAAACCAAATTGTGAAAGTAAATTAAAAAACGTATCATTACAATTAGCTGATTAAATCATCACCAATTCACTGACACAACAATTAAAATGCTTGTTTAATGATCAGCTAAGTGATTAATCCCTGAAGATTCAAATTGCTTTAATCAATGAGTATTTAGCAAAAGATTGAAACAATTAGCAAACTTTGTGCTGATTAAATTGTTTCATTTTAAATTAATGCAAAGGATTAAATTATCAATCAATTGTTAATCTTTTGTAATTATATTTCAAGTAGTTGATTGAGTCTCTGATGATTTAATGAACATTAATATCATTGGAATAGCAAAAAAAACCAAGTTAATTGTGTTGTCTCAAGTATTTTAATACAACAATTAACATAATCCTTTCAATGATTTACGAAATTTAGATGATAAAAGAGCATAAAGAATCGGATTAAGTCCCGAATTTATGTACATTAACATGTTGGTCACAATTGTCGCCAATCGACCCTCGACCGAGGCCTCTTGATATCCCGTGTACCAATCTTGGATTAGCTTACGAAGGTGAATCGGAAAGTGGCACAGAGCGAAGGTCAAAACCACCACGACAAGTAACCGGATCACTCGACGTCGGGAATTGATCACAGATCCTTTTTTAGTCCCTCGACCTGGTTGTTTACCATAATTACCTAAATATCGGCAGAAAAATTCAGATTAATTATCGTATTTCTTTAATTACTCTTGAAACTTTTTCTCGAATTTGCGATAAAAAAAGTTCTAACAATCATGAATATCGAAACTTTCGTCATCAACACTTTGTGATCAATTGATTTGTGAGAAAATATTTTATCATGTAAACAATTTGATATTTTTTTCTTTCTCTGTGTTACTAATTTAGTTAATTAATCTTTCAATTGATTAACTTTGATCATCATTAGATTATCTCAAGATTGATTAAATCCCATTGGTAACGTTTTTGATTAAATTGTATTTGGGTTATAATATTTACTTAGTAAAAGTCGATATTAAATTTACTCAAATTTGGTCGATAAAATCAAATATTGGCTATTTGATATACGATCGCAATTTAGTTGTTATATGTTTACAACTCAATTAGATAATCAGTTAATTAACTCATAAGATATTTTATCAGTTCAATGATATTAAAATTAGATTCGGAAAAGTATTAATAGAAACAGTTTCTATCTTGATTAGCTTATTATTAGAATCCAATAAGAAATTGAAAAACTTGAAAGTTTTCAAGCCAATTTCAAATGACCTCAGGCACTTTATTCCTCGTGTAACCTTGTTGACCTTTCCATGTAGCAATTGAGTATCATCCAAGCTCAAATTAGTGATCTGTGTTTGTTGGACATTTTTCAGTTCGATCGGTTGGACAGTTCTGCCCATTTCGATGTTTTCAAATCGATCTATCGACTCGATTATCGGTTCTCCATCTTGTTTACTTTGGGTGAAAATAAATCATTAAGAATCTAAATGATTAAGATTTGTTGTTTTTGCTATCAATTTCTGCCTAAACTTGATTGTTAATTAGTTGATTGTCGCCGGTAAATTATGAAACATTTCGCTCTGATATTGGCTCGTTCTGGAAGCAAATCAATCAGAGATAAAAATATCTTCCCGATCAATGGATTACCTTTAATTGCCTATTGCTTAAAGGTTCTTGATTGTTGTCATTTTCTTGATGATATTTGGGTATCAACGGATGATCAACGTATCGCTGATGTGTCACAATCAATTTCACCTCGAGTTAAGATCAATTATCGATCTCAATCATCATCTCAAGATAAATGTTCATCAATTGATTCAGTTAAAGATTTTCTTGTCTCTACTCAAGGTAAATTATATTATTTGGATAATAAGAAAAAGCAAATTTGATAAATTGGAAATTTTTGATTTTCTCTCCTCAGAATTTGGTGTAATCTATTTAATCCAATGTACATCTCCATGTTTAAAGATTAATTATATCAAACAAGCTTATGATTTAATCAATTCTGGTTCATGGGATTCAGTTTTTTCTGTAACTAAGTCTCATCATTTACGATGGTCAGTTAATTGTGACCAATCAGTTAGTCCACTTAATTTTAATCCTCAACAAAGACCACGAAGACAAGACTGGCCTGGTAATTATTCAATTGTAATATTTAATTTTCTCATTCATTAATTAATATGTATTTTAATTGTTCTCTTAGGTGATCTAATTGAATCTGGTCACTTTTACGTTGCAAAGACCAAACTAATTTTGGAAAAAAATTTACTACAAAGTGAAAGTAAATCAACAATTGTAGAGATTCCTAATTGTATGTCCCTTGAACTTGATGAACTTTGGCAGATCCCGTTCATTGAATTAATGATTAAATTACATTACGAAGATCCTCAAACTATTAAATGAGGCGAATTGAACTTCCAAGGTAATCAGTTAACAATCAAGATCGATCTCAATTGTATTGAACTAAAGGGAAAATCAACTTTGTAACGAAACAATTTACAAATGATGAAACGTTTGATGATTAAAGTGATGGTGAACATTGAGTTATTGGATTAGTTGATTGTTCTAGTAGTAATTAAGAAATGAAAGATGAATTCTTACCCAAAGATCTGGCAAATTCTGCCCTGAAATCCTCAAAGGAATCTCCTTTTTTCTTCCATAGGCACTTTACTCCCGTAAACGGAGGTTGACTTACAATGGCACAGGTCACTTCTTCCGTTCGGAAACTGTTAACTCCTGAATTGTGATGATTATGATGAGTTATTGGTAATTTGTATAAGTTAACAAATCGATGCCTTCGTTTACCATCAATAGGAGATGTTGGTGCGGATGCTGATTTATTGATTGCTTTTGGTGTGGTTATCGTTGTTGAAGAGGTTGGTGAGTTACCATCAATGGTAGTGGTTGTTGTTGTTGTTGTTGCTGTAGTTGCGGTAGTAGTTGTATGAGTAGAAGTGCTAGCACGAGATAGAGATGATGTTAGGACAGTTGTTGTTGTTATCGGTGAATCAAATCGACGGCATTTCAACTTAAGACCCAATCGTATATAAAGAAATGACATTAATATCATTGGTAAAAGGAAGAGTAGTAAAGCATTGATCATATTGAAAAATCTTATGTTATAAATGAGCTTTTGAAGCATACAAATGTGGTCAGTACCGTCCATCCTATTGGTCACTGCGACTACCCCATACATCCAAAGATTTGGTGCACAAATGATGGCCGAAAGAAGCCAAACCATACCTATTGAGAGGCGAAAATTTCTCATTTGTAGAACTTTTTTAGCTCGAATTGGATAACAAATGGCAATATATCTTTCGATTGAAATAATGACCATAGTAAATATGGAAGCCGTGTAGGACATTGTCTGCGTAAATGGTACATCTTACACATGATCACACCGAAAGGCCATGTTGGTTGGAGGAAGGAAGATAAATCTTGAAATATACAGAAGAATCCGACACAAAGGTCAGAGAACGCAAGATTGGTGAAAAAAAAGTTTGTCGAATTTCTCATTTTCTTCTGTAAAATGACCACTAGAATGACCACCAAATTACCTGCAGAAATTTCACAGAAAATCAGCAAATAGTTAAAAATAGATTCATTCTTTTACTACTTGTAACAATTAATAGAATAATAATAATAAATCATTTTGATCTAAACATTGTTAAACTAATTAAACAATCAATTAATTGTGTTCAAAGTCAAGGACAAGAGACATAACTAAATAGTCTTGGAATTGAAATAACTTTTTTTTTTCATTAATTCTAAGGTAAGATTGATGATTCTGTTAATCAGTTTATCTCATGGTGATTACTGAGCAAATCACCATGGGTAATATTCAGGAATGAGCTTTAATTTAACTTGATTAGCATTAATGAACAGTTCTGAGTTGAAGGGATAAACAGATAAGCAAATAAACGGAAATTCAAAATGATATTAACTTGATTATTATTATCATGATTAACTGGTAGAGTTTAATTTCATTGAGAATTCAGAAATTTCCCTTCAAATTGATTCCATGGTATTATTGTTCAGTCAAGTTCAATGTATCAAATGAAGGTTGAACTCTGATAATTGATAATCATGTTAATCAGTGTCTTCGAAATGGTAACAATTAATCATCTTGAAGAGAGAAAATTTTAATTGCTACTTCGACAATCGGAATCTTTGAACTTTAGAGTCGAATGACAAAAAATAAGTCCAAATGATCAGTTTGAATACGAACTAAATTTAATTCGATACTTAGTATTGATCGAATATAAGTTAATTCAGTTTACGGGCTTAATTATATACCGATGATAAACTTTAATGATGTCAAAACATTAGGGTCATTCAGTCAGTTCAGCTAATTAAATCCTAATTTTCCAGGTCAATTGATTTCTAATCATGTTAACAATTAACTGAGAGAAATTGAAAAGAAGAAAAAATAAAAAAAAAGTTCTAATGAAATTCGAGAAAACGAAAATCTCATCATCATCATTTAGATGATTAACTGGTCAATAAGTGAAGAAATTTGATTCTATGGGAAAATTGAGAGCAACAATTAGGTAATAATAATTACATTTTGAGATCTAAATAATCAAGTTAATCATTGATTGTTGTTGTTTAATTGTCCAAACAACAATCAGGTGCAAACGTCATGAAGTATTGATGATATTGATATAAAAAAAGGTATTGAAACCTTATCTTGAAAAGTTAATTGTTTGTGTTCAATTTGTATTGAGATGGTACAATTAACCATATCAACTGCAGTTTAATCATGATAACAAACAATTAACACCTATAAGAAATTAACTAAGGTCAAGGAAGAAAAAAAAAATCTCCTTTAATTGTTGACCATTCATCTAATCATTTACAGCTTCTCATGTTCCCTGGTGATTTATCCGGTGTCCAGTTAAATTGTTGTTGATTTCAATTGTCCAGTAACAATTAATCACCTCTAAACTTTTTTTTATCATTCTCATGATGGAAATTAACTTAATAACATTGATAACATCACCTTACAAGCAATTAAAATTTATTTCTATGTTACTATGATAATGTCAAAGTTAATTGTTCTCTGGGAGTTTTTTTCTCACAATAACAACAATTTAATTACTTTTTATTGACAATTTAAATATTCAATCAATTGATTCATTTTCACCATGTAAACATGATGATTGGAGCAAAAGTTGCTTACAAATCAACAAGTAAATTAGCAGGTTCAGTTAATTTAGGTCAGTTGATTAATTTCAGATTAAATCAATTCCACAATCAATTAAATCATATTGTTTATCTTCATAGTAATTCAACTCAATTGTTATCTAATTTTGGGTGAGATTAAGTTCAGTTTACTGAGAATTTTGTTCTTGAAATTAGTTAATAACTTTTCGAATTGGACAATTAAATGTTCACTTCAATTTCTATGAAATTAATCAATCGAATGATGAAGGAAAATTGACTAATTAATCATGAATTGTTAGAATTGAGCTGTGTCAGAAACAGAATTAAGAATTTTCTTATGTTCCAATTCAATGATTTTCTTTAAATTGATTCTTCAGAATCAATTGAGCTAAATGCTTATTAAGAACACGATAAAGATAACAATAACAATAACAAACTTTTCGAAGGTCAAAATAAATATCATGAAACTGATATAAACAAAAAAGTTGATCATCAACAACAATCAGCAATAACCAAATAGTGATAATATTAATAGTTACAAGTGGAAAGACCTTTAAGTTGACTCTTATTCTGATTAATGTTGAGGGAATCAAATTCACAGTTTGTTTTCAAAGTTTTCTCATTGAAACTGTTTTGAGATTTGTGACAATACAACCGGACATCGTATCTTTGATCATCTTAAAAAACTGATAACTACTTCAACAGAGCTCAGAACAATCCCAAGACACTTTGAACTTTTTTTTTTTTTCGTTTTATTTTTCACAAACAACAAACTTCACTTCTCTATCGTTAACTTCCAATTAGAGAAAAACCTTCGTATATCATGAAAAGTTCATCAATAGCATTTCAGAGAGAGAGAGAGAGAGAGAGAGAGAGAGAGATTATCACTCGAAGATCAATCCAATCTTCAGAATTTGATTGTTATTATTGATATTTTTGCTGTTTATCTCTCAATCACTTATTATTTAAAGCAATCAAAATAATTACTCACTTCTTGGAATAGAATGAAAAAACTCCCAGCAGAAGTGATTAAATTACTTTTAACCAGAACAGGAATATCTAAAGCAACATTATCGAGTTATCAAACATTATCACAAAACAAACGTGAGATCGTGATCATAATATTATAATCTATCACTGAGAACTGCTAGCAATTTATTCAAATCAGTTTAAATTAACTAAGAAAATCGAGTTATTTATCTTTCAATTGCTCAAGTCTCTTGGTTCATGACTTTAATCACTCGAGTTTTATTAGCTTCATTTTGAACGCAGCCAATTACTATTGGAATGGACAACAAGAAGCAAATATCTTCCTTGTTTCTATCAAAAAAGCATCTCAACTATCAACAGAAATCAGATGCAACTCTATCAACTCAAATTGCAGGACTAAAAAATAAATTCAGAGGTGAGTTAACTACAATGTGGATCCATCATGAAATAAGAAACAGAATTGGATTAGTAATCTCAAACTCATTCCCCATGATAATAACTGATTAAGTTATTTGGAGATTTCTTTGTTATTAATATTAGCTAACAGTCCCGAACATTTATCTCCAAATCAGCGTTTTCAAAGTCATAAAAAATGAAATGAAGTCTCGCCGAAAGGAAATGAATGAAGTCGAAGAGGAAATTAATTGCTACTATTATCATTATTTTCGCAAAATTATCATGAATTTAAATGAACTTTTCCTCAGTTATTTACTTTAGTGAAACAGGATACAGAAAATTAAATTTGACTTCATTTCATTCAAATGTATTCATATCAATATATTAATAATATCCAACAATTTGAACTGATTATCACAACTCTCTGAATCTAAATTAGATGTTAATATGATTCCATAAGAATCACATTAATCATGAGTATTTTGTTTCAATTTATTTCCCATTAGCATAATAACAATTGATTATCATATAAGAAATTAGTTAATTTTCATATGACGATGACAACAATTGAGCTCACAGATAAAAATGAACGTTGATTGTTATCAATCAATTACATAGTATCCTAACTTTGATACATTAATAAAAAGTATATCCAATTAAATTGTAATTGATTAACTTGATCACCACTCGAAACATATGATCAAGTTAATCTCAATTGATTAATAAGATGAATTTATCAATATATATTGAATCAATATTGCCACTTTTTCAGGATATTTATATCAACCATTTGATATCATTAGTCCAAGAAACTGTTTCATATTAATTAGATAATAACAATAATCAATTTCCCGGTTGATTGTAACTCATAATTAGATTGATTAACTATCAATCGTAAAGTTAAACAGGAAAATATGAGAAAAATTCTTGAACTTGAATACTAACGATTCTCTGAGAGTCTGAATCAACTTTTTATGATCAAATGTTCATGAAGTTCAATCAACTGAATCAATTTGAATCAATGTGAATCAATGATTGAGTTTTTTTTTAATATTTTTCGCATACAAGGAAACAAGGGAAAGGTTAATAGTCTCCCTGTTTAATAATCTCACAGGTTATCCAACCTTAAATCCATAGATTAACTCTCAATCTCTACTATCTTGTTATCTGTGGACTAATATGATTACAATTGGATTGATAGTGAAAATTTTTGCGCATCAGAGCAAGAAAAAAGTTCCAAATTCAATCAAATACCATTAAAGATTATCCTGTGATCTGAGTTGAAATATGTGTTCAATTTCAAGATGAAATTATGGTTAATCTAATTTATGGAGACAATCAGTTGATTGAGTCTCAAGTTTATCTTAATAGATTTATATTGAATTGTTATATTTGCTCAATGAAAGTTACTTAATATCAAAGTTTCATAGGATCAACAAGTTACCCTCAGGCGAGTTAGCAGATATTCATGATATTATCTAATATCTGTCTGGGTAAATTTTTACGAGAATTTCAAGAATTTTGAATTGTTCTTTTCTCTCTCAAAAATCGATAGTTCAATCCAATTTTATAATATTCATATTATTCATTCACAATTGTTTCAGTTTATCAACTGATTATTTGGGTGAAAAGTTCAGTAGAAATGTTTCTGGGAAAAAAATATTCAACTATGAAATTCAATTCTATGGATGAGTAAATATCCAAATATTTACTCACTAATCCTGGTAAAATTTAATTGTTTAACCATTGGAAATTAATTAGGCAATTGTTACACAATAATTGTTATCCTAACGATTATAATCAATTTCACAATCAAGGATAAAGTTGACATTATAATCAGCAAATGAAAAGCACAATTAATTTTGATTATCTAAATGTAAACTCCAGCATAACATTTGTAATGGTTATTAAAAGATTATCATTAGTTGATTGTTCACATTTAATTTTAATCTACAATTGTTATGGTTCCTTATGGATTATTGATTGTTGATTATTATGATAATCG